CCATCAGCTTCTCCTTGAGGGAGGGAGCCCGCACCTGCTGGTGCTCAACTGGAGCACGGGTGCGGACAGGTCCGCGAGCATAGCTGCGCACCGCGGAGAGATTGGGATTGGCCCGGAAAAGCTGTGCCGGCGACTGGGCCAGGATTTTGAGACTCCCGGCTGGACGGGCGGTGGAAAGTGCTAGACGCAGCAACATTGTGTTGTTGTGATGAAATTCGGTTGGACTGCAATTGGTTCTCCTTGGTTGATTGTTACTTCCTTTGGATTTTGATTTTCTATATATTTCGTCTGTGCTTTTGCAAAATAACTATGATTATTAACTGCGGATTGATATTTTGTTGTTTCGTAGCAATATTTTATTTCTTTACTGTTTCTTTTGATGTGATATCGATGTCTGGGCCTATCGCTATCGTTACCTGCAGGTGATAGTTTTCTGGGGCTATCGCTGCAACGCTGTATCGCTATCTTAATAGGAATATCGATACAACGTTTCGATAGGGCGCTACGTTTAAACGCCATGTACTATGGGAATAAATTACATTTTTGGAGATAAATTAATTTAAGATGTGAATGGTAGAATATATTTTTATAAACGAAAAATTTAGTTGGTTCTAATTCAGCAATAACCTTCCTTTTATTCTTCTGATCCCAAAGTTAAATATTACAGGACTAACTAATCATAAGCGCGCACAGTGGGCATTTTGTGGTATTTCCAGGTCACTTTTCACACCATATACTTTCTCGCCGGCGGCGAAGGAATCTCTTCTTTAGGGCGTCCTCTTTGGTCGATTACCAAAAACTCGGAGACATGTGAAGATCGCAGGGTCCCGTAATGGTCGTATGTGTTGATCTGCTCCATGTTACCACCGGGACTCGTCTCGTAGCTTCTGCATTCGTACAGTGGGCAGCAGCGGGGATATTCCGCACCGTCCTCCGTGGATGCAATCGGTTTGCAGTCGCCCTTCGTCAGCTTGGGCACCTGGCAGCTGGAATAGGGAAAGTATTGTATTGTATTTGGGTCTGAATCCATGGATGTAAGGTAAACTCACCTGTCCTCCCAGAGCTGCAAAGTCTCCAGGCACTGAACCCGGACGCAATGATCCTTTCGCGTGAGGACCTCACCTATGTAAAGATTCTGACCTGTCACTGTATCCATGCAGAACTGCTGATTGTACAGATATGCAGGGGCTATAAGGTGTATGGAAAAACAAGAAACATGACATATTCCATTATTTTTCCATAAATATGCCTCGAATTAAAAACATCTATTATTTTGGTTCTTACAGCGATAGGGCAATGCTTGGCTTCCCCCGAATACCGATGACATCAGCAGGACTATATAGATCCCCAAGTTGATTGACTTCATTTCGGCTGATTTTTCGACAGATTTTACGAAAGATCGGCAGACTGAATAGCCCGACGTTTGCAAAGTTTAGCGCACAACTGAGGTCCGTGCGGTTAATCTTTCCTCATTTGTATATTAAAAAACACAAAGTACGATGCTTATTTGTATGGAATCGCACACTTACGACATTTGCGCGCTTTCTCTACAATAAATTTAACAAATTTTACTGGGATCTGCTGAATGTTTATGTGTACCAACCCAACAACAGTGCGTTTCTTAAATTTTGGAACGCCACTTTCTTATTTACAATATACTTAAAAAAACTTTATTATCAGTATTGTAATTTATATACGTACATAAATGTATTTATTTTTTATTCTCGGGTTAAAGGTTATACATAGATATTAATTATATTGATTAACAAAATGTAAGTTCGACTAACAGTTATGAAACGCACTTTTTGATGTTGTACTTATCGCTACACAACAATATGCAAAAAAAAATTATATCAGTCCATGGTGTGTGTGTAATCAGTATATGTATATATATGACATGATCTCTAATCAGTATATACAAACATATGTTGTTAATCTGTGTGTTTATTCCCAATGTACATGAGATTTAATAAAAATATAGTCGATTGAATTGTTTACTGATTTATTGTTATCAAATTACTTCAATACCTTCTCAATTTTAAAAATATATTAAAAATAAACATATATTAAATGTTCCAAATTTTTTTAATTGAAATAATAAAACTAAAAGTTTTCAGAAGTTAGAAAAGGGAATTCAGCAAAGTATTAGAACTCGATTGCTCCTATGCATTTAACCGCTGCTGTATGTTTGTATACGCAGTAGATCTTTAAAGTTCAATTCTAAAAATTTGTTTATGTTTTGATTTGGTGTGCTATACAGCTGGTTTAGACGAACATGATCATCCAATCCAATGCCATTGAAGCCATTATGCAGACAGTCGGGCAGTGGGGCACGAATGACTCACCACTAGCGGTTCCTAAAATTAATTCGCCTGATGAAAGCTCAGAAATACTAATAAAACTATAAATGGTAGTATTTTATTTAAATAACAGGGTAATCTAGCCAAGAATTTTTTTTCAAAAACAGCTGAAGTATCTTAATGTATAATGGTAAACAACGGCCATATAAATAATATTTGTATATTGAAAAATTAGTTTAATATTGAAAATGTAATTTAATATTATACATTAAGATTTATACTATTAATATTATTAATATTGAAAATTTAATTTAATATTATATGCTGATAATTAAAAACAGCCTCAAAAAAACCTTTGCTATCCTTAGTAATCGTTATCCAAAATATAATTTATTTAACTAAACGGTCTGCTGACCTAACTAACATCTCATTTGTCATTTCCGGGAATTTCCCGATTTAAAAATTGGCGGGATTCCGACTTACACGTGACGACAGCCTGTGTAATGAGCAACACGTAATCCAATCCGTCGGCGGATTCATTGATAATCGCCGGTAAAGACAAGTTCTCATCCCATTCCAAGTGTGTAATCAGTACGTCGTCTAATCAATTCTAAATTTTTCAAACGATTAGAGCGAATTCGATGACCCCAACGATGATCCCCACCCAGAGACTACATTTTGAGTGAAATTCGGTGTGCAAATGTTCGCACGAGTGCAGCTTAGATTTTTGTGGGACATCTTTTCCGGCGGAAAAGTTCATAGGCGAGCCATTTGAACTTGAAGTCGGAAACGGAAACGGAAGCTGTCCCGAAAGCCTTTTACTTTCTGCTCAAATTTTCGGCTTCCAATTTCAGAGGAGTGAGTCACAATTTGCAAAAGCTTGTGGGCAGAAAAGTTGCCTACTCTTGTGTGTTTAGAATTCTTAAAAAATAGTTTAATATATTGCATATTTCTAAGCTCTACGGAATAAAGACAATCTGCCAAAAGTTTCAAAATTATTTAGTGGTTGTTTGACATTTCATTCGATACGTATAGTTAAGTTGTCGCATAAATAACTTGAACCAAATAATGTTTTTCTTTATTGACTGAGAAATGTATGTATAAAATGTATCTTTACAACATTAGGTTTTATTTAAGCGTGAATGTCTTAAATACTCAATTGTTTATAATTATGAAGTTCTTTTAAGTAAGTTATATATAGTACATAAATATTCAATAGAGTATTGCTATACAATTAGAGATTTCCCATACAACTTGTGGCGACTTTTTCTGCTTTGTGTGGGCTTCTTCCTGATTGAATTTAATTATTTTCGAGCATCTACTGTTGCATGTGATCAATTAGCTTCAATTATCAATTTAGAAGTAATATTAATGTTTAGTTAAATGTGTTCACAGTGAGTCAGTTAAACAATTCAAACAAATTTCCCGTCACGTTTATTTATTGCGGAATAAAACGGCAAAAAGCAGACCAGCAAGTTCATGTGCCCTATTTATTTTAAGCAAAATAAATTAAATTAAAATTGCCGGTATTGTTTCAATAAATTTGGTTTTATAGTCTGATCAAGAGTTTATGTAATTTAAGTAACTTTTCATCATATTCTGAATTTTTGAAGACAAAGTGGTAAATTTTATCTGCTACACACGAATGTTTAAGACCTATAGTAATTTCAAATCTTTTTTATCTTTGCTTATATGTGAATTAAAAACCATTTTTCATATTAACTGCCAATAAGATGTCTTGTTTTCATATTTAATTGGTTTTATAGGCGATAATAATTATGGTTTTACACAAAAAAATATGTTATGATGATATACCCTTACAAATATACATATACTATAAATATGGTATTCAAATGGTATTACGGATACATCACCTTATATATATTTGCTATATATTTATTATTTAATTTACCTTCACCATTAAAATGGTTGAGAACCAAAAAATAAATAAATAAATATAAATATATAACTATTAATTAACTCACTGGAAATAAATCTGAGCTTTGTTATAGCTTTTAAGCCAGGACTAGAACCATTTCATGGTATTACGAGACGTCTTCTAGGATGTTTAGTTTATTTAGGATCATATCAGGTCGAACAGTTTTTAAGAGATAAAAAGTAGGATCCTTGCCTGTGACATCATATAAGTATGAAATATTTGTAGGAATATTAAGAATTTATTAAATAAATTTAAAAAACTTATTGGATTATTATTTTTAACTATTCCTAGTTAAGATCAATCATATTTATAAGAACTTTAATTAAAAATAAAATATTATTTTAAAACCTTTGGATAATGTTTTATATAAGGGTATTCAAACGTTTGTATAATGTTGTACATGGGGGTATTCAACATTATCCAATGGCTATGTCGATCAATTATGATTATTATTTGAGCTTTGACCCAAAGACGAAAGAGAGTGGAGCTACAGCTACGATCAGATCCAGTTTAGGGGTTGGATCCTAACCGTGACGTGTTCGTGGCTGCGTCACCAGAAGAAAAAAGAGCGCAGAAGATGATCAATGGGTTCGGTGCGGTTCAGGTCGTATCGTCGCGTCGGCTCGTTTCAGTTTCAGTTTCAATTTCGGTTGTATTCGGTTATTCGGTTTCCGATTCTCAAATTCTCAAACAGAACTGGGGGTTGGACCTGGACTTGGGGCTTGGTTAAAGCCCGCCGCTCGCCGGCAAATCAGTTCTGCTCCGATCGCGCCACTGCGCAGTACGTAACGCTCATAATTCCAGATTCAGATACAGATATATCTGCGACATTTCGTCGAGTGAGTTGCGCTCTTGTTCTCTCGCCCAGAAAGTATTCTTCTTCTGAAATAAATATATATTAATTTTAATACACGCAAAGATATAACATGTGTATGGTTCATATAAGAAATTTGGATCTTTCAGTTCCATTTGTCGAGTTGATCGTATTTTTTTCTCGTGCATCGTACATCGTACATCGTGTTTTCTGTGTGTGAAGTAGCTCTTGAGTTGGGGCAACAAATGCAACAATAAAATGCAATTAAGCTGCTCAAATCAACAATAAATTGAATTAAACCGCGTCAACAGCGCTTAACAACTTCAACAACGACCCGAACGAAATGTGGGTGAGAGTTTAAGGCCTCAACTCTCTGGTGACTTTTGACTTCCAACGGTCGATGAATATATCTATATATATATTATATTATACTATATACCATACATTCGACCCTCTGCCTTCGGACTAATTAATGCAAAACGCTGGCCGGCATTTGCATAAATTTTCTGAATAACTTTAATGCAATTAATCCGCTGTGATCTTTCATGTTTTCACTATTTCGCGCGGTTTATTCAATTTTAATTTTAATTTCAATTTATTTTGGTTTTTTTTTGTTGTTGTTTCGCTTTACCCCGGTCTAGTCTGCTTGGCGAGCGATTTAATTAACATTTTCAGTGCGCTGTTGTTGTTCCTGGTAAATATGAAATTAAAGTGCAATTAACTATTATTTTTCCCTTGTACTTTTTTTTTGCTTCTCTGAACTTGCGGTTAAAGGGATTTCCGTTTATGAAAGAGACTCCGCTCGATTATTCTCCGTCCGGCGAATGTGTTTGCATCTTAATGAGGATAAATTTGTTATGGCAGATACCCTTGATGTTATTGTTATTGTAAGGGGGGAGGTGGGCGGTGGGCAAATGGGGGCGTGACTTATTGGCCATGCATTACGCCATGTTAATTGAAACTTGTCGCTTCGCTAGCTGATTATGCAGACTGGATATTAATTAGACCATGGCCATGTCCTGTGGACGAAGGCTGTCAGTTGAGTGGGTTGCTAGTGGTCCTAGTTCCACCGCACGAGGAGCTGAGATCATCTGGGGCAGGATTTTGGCTTATCGATCCGGGGGCTTCGATTGTGTTTACCCGAGAATGTCCATTGAACCTTTGAGCTGCATGTGAAATGAGTTGTTTGCGATGTATCTTATCGCTCAGCAGGGGTACATCCACTGGGGAAAGTGTTTTGGGGTTCTTACTTTATCAAATATTAATATATCAGAGCTAAAAATATTCTGTTTTCCTAGCATAAGCTGTGCAATATAAAGTATGGGAAAATACTATTGTAAAATACAATTTATTATCAACATTCTCTTTATAATCTTGTACTATTGTAAGGTCTTTTTACATGCAGTTCCTATGCCAAGCACAATAAAGTTATTTACTTAAATTACTTTAGATTGCATACTTCAGTCATGTACCATTAATGCAATATACCAATTAATTGTTTAACCTGGAATTTCATTTTAATTGAGGGTTTGACAAAGATGACAGTAATACAAAATGTTGTAGGGTCATTTTTGCACATTGTAAACACAGTGCTTGCCTTCCCATTAATTGGAGATAAGTTGGAATAATAATACATTGTAAATATTTGTAAATTACAAGGTTCAGGCCCCTACGCAGCGGAATAAATATATCCATTCAAGTTGTCACCGTGATGACTTGCATATGTATCTATTACATCAATCATGTTTAATAGACTTTTTGGCGTTACCTAATTTTAAAATTGATTGATTTGTTGAAAATATACCAACTAATAATTCCACTACCATATTTCAAATACAAATTTGTCTTTCAATTTATTTGGCTTGCTTAATATTATATATACCTACAATGTGTTCCCCCTTTTTTTTTGTATATATAGGGTATACTCGTTCTGGGACTTTTGAATTTGCATAACATGGGAATTGGCTTGTGCGCCGTACATTACTCATTGAATTGGTTCTTTGACTTTGAGATTTCAAATCTAAATATTATATGTGCGTATTTTGTAGCCCTCATGTTTTAGCCCCCATTCTTTTTGACTCGGGTTCTGTTTGTTTCAGTTTCGTTTTCAGTGAAATGCGGCACTAAAATGTAAATTTGAGCTCGAAAGCAACGAAAATCGAGTGAACGACAGAAATTGGAAGACAACCTAAACAAATTTGGAACTCGGGGTGAAGGTCGAGTGCTCCTCCCGTTTTTCGATGACTATGTTTTGGCACCAAAATGTAGATCAACAGCCCGATGAGGAGAACAAACAGCCAAAGAACTCAGCTCCAGCGAGGAGACTAAACATCAGTTTCAATGTGAAGATCGCGGTGAATGTGAACACCAAGATGTCAACCACGCACATAAACCAGCAGGCGCCCTCTTCCCAAGCCCAGGGAACGGGTCCACCGTCGCCCAGCAAGATTGTGGTCCATCAGCAGAGCAGCACCTTCGATCTCCGCCAGCAGTTGGCCCGTCTGGGTCGCCAGTTGGCCAGCGGTCAGGATGGCCACGGCGGCATATCCACCGTCCTTATCGTCAATCTCCTCCTGCTGATCCTCCTCTCGATCTGCTGCGATGTCTGTCGATCCCACAACTTCACGCTCCACCAGAGTCCCGAACCCGTGCCCAAGGACCAAATGGGTCTGCTGCGTCCCAAACTGGACAGCGATGTGGTGGAGAAGGTGGCCATCTGGCACAAGCACGCCGCCGCAGCACCGCCCAGCATCGTCGAGGGCATCGCCATCAGCAGCAGGTCCCGGGCCCCGGATTCCGCTATTCTGCCCCCAGCTTATCAGCATCCCGATCCGCATCACCATCCGGATCCGCATCCGCCGGAGGAGCAGCACGGAGTCGACGAGCGGGTGGTCCTCGAACGCGTCACACGGGACTGTGTCCAGCGGTGCATTGTTGAGGTGAGTTAGTCTTAGAAATAAGTTGATTTATTTAAGGGAACTCCTGAAATTTTCAATGGTCCGGAAAGCTTCTCCAAGGTTAAGACCCATTTTCTCGAGTGGCAGTTAAAGTGAGAGTTTGCTGTCTGCAAGACAAACTAACTACCAGATAAGCCTGTCGTGTGCAATAACGCCCAGTGAAATAACGACCAATGCAATAACGCCCATAAGAGTAAAGAAACAAATTATTACCTAAGCATGGGAGTTATTTCATTGGGCGTTACTGCTTAGCCCCCAATATTTATCTTATGGAAAAAACTATAAAAGTAATGCTTTTATGCTCAGAAAATGTGATCTAAAACCTTAAAACCGATACTTTACTTTCACAATATTTAAGAGGGACTTACATTGACGCTTGAGAAAACCAAATTTCCTTAACAGGGACCTTATCTTTTCGATAAATCTTTTCCGGCACTTGAGAAACCGGTTGTAAGTTAACCGTTTAAAACTAACCGAATAGTTGTCTTCATTAAATATGTTTAATAACTAACTTACAGGTTTCTGAATTATGTTACATAATTCTAATTATTTAAAATTAAATAGGATAGGTGTTCTTTAATGAAAAAACTAGATTTCGGTATTAACCGTGTAGAAATATTTAAAATTGTTAAAAAGTCCTGTTTTTGGCTGTTTTTTGAGGCTAATATTTTTCCGTGACAATGTCAAAATAGCTGGAAAGAAATATTTTGTTTTTCTCCTCCAAAAAGTGACGTCTGCACAAAGAAAAATACATAAAACATGAACTTTCTCAGGGCCACAGAAAAAAAACATCAATCACTTGTCACCGAAGAAAAAGCGACACTCGAGTGCAAAATGTTTGTTTCTAGTTTTGCATATGTCAACGATATAATCAGAAAACAATCCGAACAAGTGCAATGCGAGTTTGCTACATCATCACGTAGACCAGCTAGTAAAAAAAGGAAAAAACTGTTTCTTTTGATATTGTTTTTCAGATATTTACAGACTGGTTTGTTCAATGGGGTTGAATGAATTTTTCCGTGGCCATTAATCCCCGCACTTGCAGTGCTAATTAAATGATATGTATAATTGAAGATCGTCAAGTCGGTGATTACGACTGCGGGCTGTGGGATGAAGAGTTGACATTTCAATTTGCCGGTTTGCTGGATGGCTGGATTGCTGGATAGCCAGATCGGGATTAGAATCTCACTCATTATTCGGGTTACCCGGCTTTATTGCAATTTGCATACTGAGTGGGTGGGTTTTATCTGGCATCCGTGCGATGTCGCCTGCTCGTACCACATGGATCTAAATATGTTTATGGATATGCCTGGCACCCATACCAATATTTAGTTTTGTTCAAATTCAATGTTTGTCTTTTTTGCCAGTATATTCTGCATTAACACACTCCTGGACTCAATCCCTGGTGAGCTTAATTAAAAATGCTTTTAATTATGCAACCGCCAGACTCGGACTTTTCGTTTATTTTGTACATTTTATTCATGTTTTAATTGCAACTGGCAAAGTGCAGAGGTTGATATGTGTAACACGAGCTGCTATATTTCGCACAAAGCGGATTCTTGAATGGGAAATCCTCTCCAATTGTTGGAACTTTATTGCTCGAAATACATTTCTACAGATTTAAACTTCAAACTTTTTAAAGGTGATGGAAATATGGGGGATATTTGTGGGGTATGGGTAATAAGTTTACCTAAAAACAGCTTTCCAATTGTAATACAATTTGTGTATTAGCTTATTACTTTTCTTAACTACTAAACCTAATATACTACCAAAACATTTGTTCCGATTTAAGCTTAAAATTGTTTAAATGTGAGGTATACCACTAAAACAGCTTTCAAATTGTATACAATTCTGTACATTTATGGTCTTATTTTTCTTAAATCCAATACTTAACCCAAGTAAAATGGGCAGGATTACAAGAAATATTAAATATCTGAGTCTTGGTTTAGTAATCACTTAAAGTTGCTTAGTATTTTGTTAGAATAAGCGCTTTATTTGCTGAAATGATCAAATGTGTACTCGTACAGAGAAGTGAATCAGCATTTTAGCACCCATATATTTTGCTGTGCAAATGTGCGGACTGTAATTACTATATTATTATCGGAGAGTGTGTAATGGGAGTAAGCTGCATGTTAATCTGTGACTCGACTTGCACTTCATTCATTAGGAAAGCGCCATTTCAGTAATCCGCATTTCGACACTCCAGTAACACCAGCCACCGCCAATTAAAATTAATGATAACTGAGCGACTACATCTGGGATTGGTTAAATGTGGGGGATTGCCAGGGCATAGGATTGAACTAAATGACCGCCCTATAGAAATGTACCACGTTTAATTGGTTGATTTTCCAGCATCATCAGTATTTCCATCTCAAGAAATTGGTTCCTAAAAGTTTTGATGTTTTATTAAAATTAATTAGAAAAAATCATATTGGTTATATATATTTAAAGTGACTTCTGAAGAACTGAAAAAAGGCAAATTCATTCAATTTCGCACAATTAAGTCGTTTAAGAACGTCCAGAATGTGGGCCAAGCTCAATGCGAAACTATCTTTTAATTGTAGAAATTCCTGATTTTTAATTGCCCTTTTAATTCGCATTCGAGTTGCCATTATGACTCCGACTAATCGTTAAAGCTGGTCACTTATCCCTGGAACAAACTAGACCAAACCCCCATTTGCAACCAGTAACTGGATTTCGCATAACCTAGAAAGGCGATGCGAACAAAAGAAATTTTATTAAGATGTTTTGCCTTGTTGGAATTGAGAGTGAGCAAAATGTTTAGTCAATTTATGTGTACGGGTATTTGTAGGTGGCCCCACAATTGGGGACCAATTAATAGGAGTGATGTCTGAAAAATGGATGTATTTTGGTAAATGTTTTCATTGGAAATCAATTTATTTTAGTGATTTTGTTAGGAATAACTTTTCTTTTTTGTCATAACAAGTGCTATATTTTTTTAAAATTTTAAGATTACACATTTATTAATTTAACTGGAATAAATGCATAAGTAATAAAACAAAGCATTTTGACCATAACATCATTTTTCAAGTTTCACAGAGAAATATTTTTAATATAATAGAAGATACTAATTCAGTTAGTTCGGTTGGGTAATCTATAAAGTTCATATGTTCCAGACATTTCAAATTAAACATTTAATTGCTATATACTTAGTTTAAACAAATTAAAATAAAAAAACTTTACCATAACAGCATATTTTTATAGAATTTTTTTAAACCCAATTTTTAGAACTTACCCATTGAGCTTATTAAGGAAGTTCTTTGGTTCGGTTGGGTAATCTACAAGGAATATGTATTCCAGTCATATGACATTTATATGTTTTTTAGCAATCTCAAATGTGAAAGTCCCACATATATATTAAAATTGTATGGAAAATAAATTTATTATTAATAAAACAAAACATTTTTACTATATCATCGTATTGTAATTTTTATAGAGGTTTTTCTTTTAATCAACATTTTAGAAGATTCCTATCAAGTTAATAAGAAAAGATTTGGTTCGGTTGAGTAATCTTTAGGGAATATATATTCCAGTCATATAACATCAGCATTTTTTAGCAATCTTAAATGTCAAATGCCCATATACATATTACAATTTTAAGGAAAATAAATGTATTATTATTAAAACAAAACAGTTATACCATAACATCGTATTGTATTTGTTATAGAGGTTTTTCTTATAACCAAAATTTTGGAAGATGATGAAGATGAGTTAGGTAAGAATGTTTTTTGTTATATTGGGTGATCTTAAAAGGTTATATATTTCAGGGATATTTTATAAAATTTTAATTATATTTTGGAACCACTAGGATTTTTGGCGGTGCTGTGTGGGCCCGCCTGTTCATCAGCTCACAAGTGTATTTTCTTTGGGTTGCTTTTCCAGAGCCTGACGGCAGCAACAACAATGGCACAATAATGGTGTCAATAACACACCAACCCAGTCTGGCGGCCTTCCCCCCGCCCCGCCCCCTTTTTAGGGTGTGTGTGTGTGTGTGTGAGTGGGTCGCTTTCCGAGTTAATGTAATAGAAATTGTACAACAAAAGATGAGCAATGACGACATGAAAACCCCCAATGCCAATTAGTCTCGAGCCCCAGGCTTTCGTCTTTATTTCGCCTCTCGTTTTCTCTTTTTTTTTTTGAGGGAAAGAGGAAAGAGCTCTCACTCTGAAGAGCTATTTCTGTTTGTGAAAAAGCCAATCAAGCTAAATTAATAAAATATTACGTAGAATTCTAAATTAAATTGACGCGTGTGCGAAAAAAAAGGAAAGTACAAACACCAGAAAAATACTTTGTGAGTGTGTGTGAATGGGGAAAATCAAAATCCGTGTGCGTGAGGGGAAATCCCTTGGTAATTACTAGTCCATTTAGTCAAGGCAACACAATTAACAAAGTTGGCCATTTTAAGGAGTTTGTAATTGGGGCAGGGGCAGCTCCAAATGCGCTAAATTGTATTTTAAGTACTTGCTTTTACTTTTTTGGGGGGCAACTCAAAGGATTGTGCAGTTCCTCGAAAAAAACCTCTGTAGAGATTGGTTTTCCCTCACAGGAAAAATTCATAAAAATGCAATTAATGATATACATATAAAAATATACATTTATAAGATTCGCTAGGACTGGGTTGAGGGAATGGATCCCTATATTTACAAATATTTTATACAAAAAATTAGCTTTATGTTCAAGAAGCTTAGTAAAATTAAAAACAAATTTAAATGAGTTAAAATTTATTTTAGCACTTAAATATTAGGCCAATTTAGTTTATTAAGAACGTTTATAAAATTATTATAAATATGAGTTAAAAATGTAACATTTTATGGATTCTTGATTTAATTAGTTTGGTTTTTAAAACTAACATTTTTGGATTTACTCTAAATTCATTTTTAATTACTTTAACATTGGTTCAAAGTTTGTTTTTATACTCAAAATTTAGTTTTGCCAGCAATCCAAAATATATTACAGTTTGTTAACTTTTATGGCTATTTTTATCGGCTAGCTGGGCCTCTTTAGAAATGTTTTTTAATGTCTTGTGAATAGGTTTAAATTTATTATTTAATCATCTTCAAGTTTTGCATGGCTGACCCCGTTTTGAGCCGGTACGTCTAAAGTCAAAGTCCAGGGTATGCAAATACAATTTTTGGCTCGAGAGATCTTCAGGGCTCACGTGGTAAACTTGTTTCTATTAAATTTATGCAATGCCAGCGATACTCGGAAATCTAATTTCAATGCGAAAAGAAGAGATATGTATATGTATATATAAACAAAGCACATTTAATCGAGAGTATATTTCTATTTATGTTATGTGCGAAGCTCGATTTGTCTTTCCCTGCTCCCCAATGATAATTGATCGAAATAATTGAGCCATTGGCATTGGCACAGAATTCGCAATTGTTATAGATATGTGGTCATTCGGCATTTTCCCATACAAACTTACCGCAACTTCCGTTCCCAAGGGTTAAGAAAATAAGAGAAAATCCCACAAAACACTAATTGCTTTCACATTTTTAAACAATGTTTTTATTTTACTTTCCAGGAGGATCTGTTTCTGGACGAGTTTGGGATACAATGCGAGAAGGCGGACAACGGCGAGAAGTGCTACAAAACACGAGTAAGTCAGAGACTTTAGGGAGCCAGAAATGAAATGGGATAGCGATAAGTCGGGCCCTCGGGTAACCCGATATCTCTGTTCGCGCCAAGGGTTAACCACTTTGTTGGCAGGGAACCCAATTCGAGATCAATTGGACACGAACTCAAAGTGCATTATCCTCTGCCAGTCGTGCTCCTTCTCCAAACAACTGAGGAAGCCATCGAACAGGATCTTCATGATCACTCCTTGGGCTGTTTTCGGTTTCATCCTGGGCTCCTTTCCCACTCCCTCTTTACGCGGATTCATCGTGGGCACTATTTTCATGGTGGGGCTATCCATTCGGGGTAATTTGGCACTTTACGATCAATTTTATGAGCTCTTTGCGTGGCTATAAAGTGGTAAACAATTCGAATTTTGTGTAGACTTGTGTTTGTAGTTACATTGACGGATGGTTTTAAATAATAATATTTCCAAGATTTTTGGCATGTAATACAAAGCCAGTAAAAAAACAGGTTTTTAAGTGAATATCTTAAGAATAATGGTTTCAATTTATAAAATTCTTAGCTTTTGGCATGTAAAAACAGGTTTATGAGGGAATTTCTCTAGATCAATTCTTCAAAGAAAAAAATAATGATAAGGGAAATTTGACGGAAAGTTAATATTTGTAAGCCATATTAATACAAAATTTTTATTAGATTGGACAGATTTTTGTATAAAGATAATAATAACACCGTAATGGTGTATCTTCAGATCTAATTTCCGCCATTAAAATCCAATTTTAACCGATCCTTTATATAATTTTGCTCTTTATTCTTTACATCGCTATAATAAAAATACCAATTTTTACTTTATTTATAAAAATTTCTAATTCATAGAATATCCTAACTTTCGTTTTTTTCAGTGCACCAAGGGCTGTGCCCAGTGGTATCGCGCCCTCAAGGAGCTGGAATCCTGCCAGGAGGCCTGCGTAAGTGGCAGTCCATCATCTTATCATCCATTCCAGAACCCAATCCCAATCCTCCACCCAGACCCGCACCCAGACCCACATCCAGATCCAGTCTGACCCCGATCGTTGTTTCCCCTTTTGGCCCGCCCGCAGTTGTCGCTGCAGTTCTACCCGTACGACATGCCCTGCATCGGTGCCTGCGAGATGGCCCAGCGGGACTACTGGCACCTCCAGCGCCTGGCCATCAGCGACCTGGTGGAGCGGACACAGCCCCAGCTGGAGCGGGCTCCGCGGGCCGATGGACAGGCCACGCCGCTCACCATCCGCTGGGCGATGCACTTCCCGGAGCACTACCTGGCCAGCCGGCCCTTCAACATCCAGTACCAGTATGTGGATCACCATGGCGTGGAGCAGGAGCTGGAGCCGGATGTCGGGCAGGAGGATCAGGAATCCGGAGCGGGGGGTTCCAGCGCGTGGTTTAACCTGGCTGACTACGACTGTGATGAGTACTTCGTCTGCGAGATTCTGGAGGCCCTCATACCCTACACCCAGTACAGGGTAAGTTTCATTACAAGCAATTTAGGATATATTATATATATATATTATATGTATGCAGTTCCGCTTCGAGTTGCCCTTTGGCGAAAACAGGGATGAGGTGCTTTACTCCCCGGCCACGCCCGCCTTTCAGACGCCACCCGAGGGCGCCCCCATCTCGGCTCCGGTCATCGAACACCTGTTGGGTCTGGACGACAGCCACCTGGCGGTACATTGGCATCCGGGTCGATTCACCAATGGTCCCGTTGAGGGATACCGCCTGCGGTTGAGCTTCGTAGAGGGAAACCACACAACTGAGCAGGTAGTCATCTATCTTTCTTCTAAGGAATATTTATACTCGGAAAAAAACCGTTCATACAAACATGCTCTAGATCTCTGTTAAGTGATAAGAGAATAACACTTTTGTCTTCAAAAGTATGATCTAGACTACTTTCATCACTTTATTAAGATAGTTTCTTCTCGAAGAGCAATTTCGTCTTTATTTCAAGAGAACGAAATCTTGAATTGAGCACATTCTCGGTTTGCAAGACTACCACTTTTTCGAAACACTGAGACAAATTTCATCTCGCTTGATTTCCAAACAAATTCGAGAGCACTTTCTTCTTGTTTTTAAGAACGGTTCTTGGTAAGTGAGAAGACAAAATCTTAAATTAAGAACATTATTGATTTGGAAGAGTCCTTTTGTCTTGAAAAGCAAAATCGAGACTAATTTCATCGCTATTTCAAGAGTTCTTCGTGTCGAATAACCAAACCGAGAGCAGATTTTTCTCAATTTCAAGAACCATTTTACTTAAAAAAGTGAGAATGAAGAACATTTCATATTGTCTATTTTCTGATCTCAATTCTTGCATTATTTGTTTCATCATATCGTAATGCTTTCGGAATTTTCCCATTTTCAGCTGGTTCCGGCGGGCCGCGGTAGCTTTATCTTTTCCCAGCTGCAATCGGGAACCAACTATACCTTGGAGCTGACGATCATCAATAAGCAGGGCGAGGGTCCGGCGGCCAAGGGTTTTGTGGAAACCCTTCCCACCCGAAATGAAAAGCCTGTGAAGGAACTTACCGAAGGTGTCCTCCTGGCCGGACGAAGGGCTGTGATGTGGCAATCCCTGGAACCGGCCGGGGAGAGCTCAATGATCTACCAGTCGCAGGAGGATCTGGCTGATGTGGCCTGGTCCCAGCAGGAGCAGCAATTGTGGCTCCTCAATGTCCATGGGGAGTTGCGCAGGTAACTGGGGGACTGTAATATTTATCAGTACCTCTTATAATATTTAGTGTAATCCTTATCTTCTAGCCTAAAATTTGAGTCGGGACAGATGGTGAGTCCGGCCCAAAAGCTGAAGCTGGATTTGGGAAACATCTCGGCCACTGGACGATTAATGCCTCGTCGACTGAGCTTTGACTGGCTGCGTCATCGACTATACTTCGCCATGGAGTCGTTGGACCGAAACCAATCCAAATTCCAGATTATAAGCACGGATTTGGAGGGAGAAGCCGCCGAAGAAGCTGGTGAACCCTTCGATCTGCCGGTTGAGCAGCTGGAAGTGGATGCCCTGAATGGCTGGATCTTCTGGCGGAACGAGGAGGACCTGTGGCGTCAGGACTTGCATGGTCGAATGGTCTATCGCCTGGTCAGGATTAGGCAGCCTGGTTGGTTTGTTGTCCAGCCGCAGCACTTCCTCATCCGTCTGATGTTGCCGCAGGAAGGTAAATTCCTGGAGCTGAGCTACGATGGTGGGTTCAAGCATCCACTGCCACTGCTTCAGCATCCAAGTGGATCATCCTCCGTTTGGCCCACCTTTGCCCTGCTTGGTAGCTCCCTGCTCCTTCCCGAGTCGGGTCAGCTCAACCTGGTGGGGGGTCAGGGAGTAAGTGCCTCTTGGCCACTGCGGAACTTGCCAGATTGCTGGGCCGTGATTCTCCTGGTGGCGGATGGCCAACCGTTGACCAATGCCGGTGGCAAACCCCACAGCTTGAAGGCTCTGTTGGGCGCCCAGGCGGCGAAGATCTCCTGGAAGGAGCCGGATCGTAATCCCTACCAATCCGCGGATGCCGCCCACAACTGGAGCTACGAACTGGAGGTCCTCGACGTGGCCAGTCAGAGTGCCTTTAGCATCCGGAACATTCGAGGACCCTTCTTTGGCCTGCAGCGCCTGCAGCCCGATAATCTGTACCAGCTGCGGGTGAGGGCCATCAGTGCGGATGCAGAGCCGGGGGAGTGGACATCTCCACTGGCTGCCCGCACCTGGCCACTGGGTCCACATCGACTGAGGTGGTCCAGCCGGGAGGGAAGGCTCCTGCACACTGATGAACTGGGCGAGGGCTTGGAGGTGCAGCAGGAACATTTGGAGCGCCTACCCGGACCCATGACCATGGTGAACGAGAGCGTGGGGTACTATGTGAGTGGAGAGGGGCTGCTGCACTGCATCAACCTAGTGCACAGCCAGTGGGGATGTCCCATTGCGGAGCCACTACAGCATGTGGGTTCGGTGACCTACGACTGGCGAGGCGGCAGAGTGTACTGGACGGATCTGGCCAGGAATTGCGTAGTGCGCATGGATCCCTGGTCGGGCAGTCGGGAACTGCTGCCCATCTTCGAGGCCCGCTCCCTGGCCTTGGATTCGCGGCAGGGTCACCTCTACTATGCCACCAGCTCGCAGCTATCCCGCCATGGATCTTTGCCCGAGGAGTCGGTGTCCTACTACAAGGTCAATGGATTGGAGGGCAGCATCGCCTCCTTTGTCCTGGACACCCAGCAGGATCAGCTCTACTGGCTGGTGGGTCGTGCTGGCACACTGCGTCTTTATCGTGCTCCCCTGAGTTCTGGCCGTGACGCACTGCATCTGATACAGGATCTGAAGGGTGCCGTTCAGGCTATCCCCCAGAGCTTGCAGCTCTTGAGGCCACTGGGTGCCCTTCTTTGGCTGGAGCGGAGTGGCAAAAGGGGGCGTTTGGTGCGTTTGGCTGCTCCCGAGGATGTGATGGAGTTACCAACGCCGGATGAAGCTTCTCCTGCCTCCGCCTTGCAGTTGCTGGACCAGCAACCACTTCCTCCGCCGGATGAGGGGGTTATTCCTCAGACAGTGACTCCGGATTCAGTTCGCCTGGATGATGGCCACTGGGATGACTTCCATGTGCGTTGGCAGCCCTCGACATCCGGTGGCAACCACAGCGTCTCGTATAGATTGCTCCTCGAATTTGGCCAGAGACTTCAGACCCTGGATCTGACCACCCCCTTTGCCCGACTGACCCAACTGCCCCAGGCGCAGTTGCAGCTGAGGATCAGCATCACGCCGAGGACCGCCTGGCGCAGTGGGCAGACCACTCGGGTGCAACTCACCACTCCGCCGGCGGCACCTAGTCAACCTCGCCGGTTGAGGGTCTTTGTGGAGCGTATGGCCACTGCCCTCCACGAGACCAATGTGAGCGCCCTGCTCCGCTGGGATGCCCCGGAGCAGGGTCAGGAGGCGCCGGTGCAGGCACTGGAGTATCACATCAGCTGCTGGCTGGGCTCCGAGCTGCATGAGGAGCTGCGCCTCAACCAGAGTGCTCTGGAGGCTCGCGTGGAGCACCTGCAGCCGGATCAGACCTACCACTTTCAGGTGGAGGCGCGTGTGGCGACCACGGGAGCTGCAGCCGGGGCAGCCAGTCATGCCCTCCATGTGGCTCCCGAGGTGCAGGCGGTGCCACGCCTACTCTACGCCAATGCCGAGTTCATTGGTGAACTGGACTTGGACACCAGGAATCGCCGGCGACTGGTGCACACTGCCAGTCCGGTGGAGCATCTGGCTGTGATCGAGGGAGAGCAGCGATTGCTGTGGGTCAACGAGCATGTGGAGCTTCTCACCTATGTACCAGGCGCTGCTCCAGCTAAGCTGGCCAGGATGCGTGCTGAGGTCTTGGCCCTCACCGTCGACTGGGTGCAGCGCATCGTCTACTGGGCGGAACTGGATGCGAGTGCCAACCAGGCGGCTGTGATCTATCGCCTGGATCTGTGCAACTTCGAGGGCAAGATCCTGCAGGGCGACCGGGTGTGGAGCACTCCCAGGGGTCGTCTGCTCAAGGATCTGGTGGCCCTGCCACAGGCTCGTTCTCTCGTCTGGTTGGAGTATGAGCAGGGATCGCCCAAGAATGGTTCGCTCAGGGGCAGGAACCTCACCGATGGCTCCGAGCTGGAATTGACCACCTGGCAGCCACTGATCCACCTGCATGCCGGCAGCTTGGAGCCCGGATCGGAGACGCTGAACCTGGTTGATTACCTGGGCAAGCTGTGTGTCTACGATGTGGCCCGCCAGCTGTGCACGGCCAGCGCTCTGAGGGCCCAGCTCAGTTTGCTGGGCGAGGACTCCCTTGCCATGGGACAACTGGCCCAGGATTCGGGTTACCTCTACGCCCTAAAGAACTGGAGCATTCGGGCCTATGGTCGTCGGCGGCAGCAGCTGGAGTACTTGGTGGAACTGGAGCCGGAGGAAGTGCGTCTGCTCCAGGCGCATAACTATCAGGCCTATCCGCCCAAGAGTTGCCTACTACTTCCTCCAGTTGGGGGATCCTTTGTGGAGGCAACCAAATGCGAGGAGCAGGGGTGCCAACTTCAATTACCATTGATTAAAGCCTCCAAAGATTGTGCTTTACCCATTCCCGGCGTGAGATACCAATTGAATCTCACTTTGGCCAAGGAGGAGGAGTCCCAAGAGGAGCAGAAGGAGCAGCAGGAGGATGAGCCCCTGGCTCATTGGCTGCTGGGGGCTGGTGAGTCCTTGAATATCACAGATCTCCTGCCCTTCACTCGTTATCGTTTGGTGGGAGTCCTGACCAGCTACTACCAAACCAAGTTGGGATTACCCTCACTTGCTTTGCCCCCGCTGGAGCTTCTCACCGCCTCTGCCACGCCCTCGGCTCCCAGGAACTTCAGTGTCCGTGTGTTGAGTCCCCGGGAACTGGAGGTCACCTGGTTGCCGCCAGAGCACCTGAGGAGTGAAAGTGTCTACTACACGCTCCACTGGCAACAGGAGGGGGATGGTGAAGATAATGAAGCTGGTCAGGATGGGGCGGAAAGGAACCCCCAGGAGAGGCGACTTGAGGCGGCGGGTAGCCATCGACTGAGCGGCATTAAGCCGGGATCAGGCTATCGCCTCTGGGTACTGGCCCATGCCACGCCCACTAAAAGCAACAGCAGTGGGCGGCTGCATGTGCGCAGCTTTTCCGATTTGCCGGAACTGCAGCTCCTGGAGCTGGGACCCTATTCCCTAAGTCTCACCTGGGCAGGAACACCGGATCCATTGGGATCCCTGCAACTGGAGTGCCGTTCGCCGAGTGAGCAACTGCGTCGAAATGTGGCTGCGAACTACACGAGGATGGTGGTGGAGCCACTGCAGCCGCGTACTCGCTATCAATGTCGCCTGCTTCTGGGCTATGCGGCCACCCCAGGAGCTCCACTGTATCATGGCAAAGTGGAGGTCTACGAGACCCTGGGTGATGCCCCCAGTCAGCCGGGGAAACCTCAGCTGGAGCACATTGCCGAGGAGGTGTTCCGCGTCACCTGGACACCGGCTCGTGGCAATGGAGCACCCATTGCCCTGTACAATCTGGAGGCTTTGCAGGCGAGGAGAAACGACATTCGCCGACGGCGCAGGAGAAGGCGTCGGGATAGCGGTGGATCATTGGAGCAACTGCCGTGGGCTGAGGAGCCGGTGGTCGTGGAGGACCAGTGGCTGGACTTCTGCAACACAACCGAGTTGAGTTGCATCGTGAAGAGGCTGCACTCGAGCAGGTTGCTCCTCTTCCGGGTGCGCGCGAGGAGTCTGGAGCACGGATGGGGTCCGTACAGCGAGGAGAGCGAGCGGGTGGCGGAGCCCTTCGTCTCGCCGGAGAAGCGTGGATCCCTGGTCCTGGCCATCATTGCGCCGGCGGCCATCGTCTCCAGCTGCGTCCTGGCCTTGGTCCTTGTGAGAAAAGGTAGGGAAACCCATTTGATATGCCCACATATTCATAACCCTTTCCATATTCCCCCATATTAGTTCAAAAGCGTCGTCTGCGTGCCAAGAAACTGCTCCAGCAGAGCCGTCCCAGCATCTGGAGCAATGTGTCCACCCTGCAGACGCAACAGCAGCTACTGGCCGCCAGGAATCGAGCCTTCTCCACCACCCTAAGTGATGCGGATATCGCTTTGTTGCCCCAGATCAATTGGAGTCAACTGAAGCTGCTCCGATTCCTGGGCAGCGGAGCCTTTGGCGAGGTCTACGAGGGTCAGTTGCAGACGGAGGACTCCGAGGAGCCGCAGCGAGTGGCCATCAAGGTGAGTTATCCAGGTAGCATGGATGAGTCATCCTTAATTGTCCATTAATCCCTTAGAGCTTGCGAAAGGGAGCCAGCGAGTTTGCAGAGCTGCTCCAGGAGGCTCAACTGATGAGCAACTTCAAGCACGAAAACATCGTCTGTCTGGTGGGGATCTGCTTCGACACCGAGTCTATCTCCCTGATCATGGAGCACATGGAGGCGGGCGATTTACTGAGCTACCTTCGTGCTGCTCGAACCACTAGCACACAGGTAAACTTTCTTTGAGGGTATTTAGAATATATATTCCCGATCAGCTTCACTTTCCGTCTGCCCGTTTCTACGCTAAGGTCTTAGTTATAAATCTATCCAGTCGAAACGTAACTTCCATTGCAATGGTCAGAAAAATATTTTGAAAAACAATTCTATTAATTATTATATTTTTATAAAAATTAACATGCATATATAAGATTTAAGTTGTATGATATTGCTTTAGCTGCATGGGTATATCAACTTCGGCTTGGCAAAGTTAGCTTCCTTTCCTGTTAGTTGTAAAATGATATGAAATATGTAAATATTATAATATTTATTTGGCAATTTTAGGATGCGCAACCCCTGGCTGGTCTGTCGCTCTCGGAGCTCCTGGCCATGTGCATCGATGTGGCCAATGGCTGCAGTTACCTGGAGGACATGCACTTCGTGCACCGCGACCTGGCCTGCCGGAACTGTTTGGTCACGGAATCGGCGGGCGGACCGACGGATCGGCGGCGGACTGTGAAGATCGGAGACTTTGGACTGGCGCGGGACATCTACAAGAGCGACTACTACCGGAAGGAGGGCGAGGGCCTGCTGCCGGTGCGCTGGATGTCGCCGGAGAGCCTGGTAGATGGCCTGTTCACCACCCAGTCCGATGTTTGGGCCTTTGGGGTCCTCTGCTGGGAGATCCTCACCCTGGGTCAGCAGCCATATGCGGCGAGGAATAACTTCGAGGTGCTGGCCCACGTCAAGGAGGGCGGACGCCTCCAGCAGCCACCCATGTGTCCGGAGAAGCTGTAAGTTTTGGGTATTTCGAATATATACATTTTCTTATCATTCGATTTATACGATTCATCAGCTATGCCCTCCTCCTCCTCTGCTGGCGAACTGATCCCTGGGAGCGACCCAGTTTCCGGCGCTGCTACAATACCCTGCATGCCATCAGTACCGATCTCCGGCGCAGCCAAATGGCCTCCAGTCCGGCGGACCCCAAGCCAGAGGTCAAAGTGCGATTCGATGGACAGTCGCAGGAGCAAAAGGATCAGAAGGAGCAGCCGCCAGAGAACCTGTCACTAAGGGAAGTCCCTCTAAAGGACAAACAACTGTATGCCAATGAGGGCGTCTCCCGACTTTGAGCGGGGATTCCCTCACCTTTTCACAACCAACGTCTCAAACGATCTAGCTTTCCGGTTAATATAAGGCTAACTTTAATACAGAATACAAATGGATTAAGATGTGTTTTTCGTATACAGGAACTGTGGGCAACCATTTCCTTTAAGTTCTATTTTCGGAGATATTTATTTATTTGTAATATTCCTACGAATGGCGCAATTTTAATATATTATTATATTTTGGTACAAGAGAAAGGTTTTTTTATCAATGTCTCCATGTTTTCGGGTCTTTGATTTCGACCCTTGCCCAAAAATTCCATTCTGATTTCTGAGATTCCTGAGTTGTCCATCCAACGATGACAAAAAGTCCTGAAATTCCTTATTTTTCTGACTTTCCCAATAAAGTATAAAAAATCTAAGGAATCTTGGGACTGATTTTTATTTAATAATACCTTTAAACATTTTTTTTAATAGTTTTTAGAATTTTATATGTATTAAAATTTATAAGAAATATGTTTTTTAAAACGCAACTCCAACTTCCTTTAAGACCTAAATTTTTTTTAGAGCTCGTTTTCATTGTAATTTCCAATCTAATTCCACTCAAGTCTATGCTTAATTTTATTGAATTTGCCGAGTTTTTAATGTGACTTGGCCAGAAAAAGTTTACTTCGTCGGCTTTTATTTTCATCATTTTCCTTTGTGTTTCCTTTTGGCGGGGCTTTCCCGAGGAAAATACAATCAAATTAAATGTGAGCGTTGGTGTAAAAGTTTGGCGATACACTAAGGGATGGGAATAATGGGATGGTTTTTAGGAGGGCTATAAATAGAGCTGAAGTAAGGTAACGTTCTTGAAGGTCGCCCTTTAACTAATCACCGCAGGTGAAGGAACCATCAGGGCCTGGGAGAAATGAAAGCCCCTGACGAACTTTCTCCTTCTTACACGCACGCACGCACACCCACGCATGCACACACCCACACTCTCACACTCCAACAAACCCACACACCCACGGCCACGCATCTACAAACATGCAGATTTGTCAAATGTTTTGACAAACTTTTCCTCCTCGCATCGCATTACACAAAAGCCTCCAAAGTGGGCCATCAAGGGGTGGAATGGGGTGGTGTTGTGTGGATAAATCAAAAATTGTAAATAGCAGCACATAAATCGATTACCTTTGCCAAGCTCTCGTTAACCCACGAAGAACGGAACATAAATAAACCATTTTTAATATGCGAATAAGCAGCTTTACTTTTTGCAATACCCTAACTCAAGGTATCTGGAGTTCTAAAATTAAATGAGACGGTCTCACACAAGTGAACTCAGCCTTTTGCTTCTAAAATCAATTTTTAACAAATTTGTTTTGTGTTATAAAATTTCTAATATGTATATAGATTCTATAAAAAATGGACCAAACGGAATAAAGAATGTCCTTAAAAAGGTGCCTCCTATATGATTTAATGACAAAAATCGACTAGAAATTGATTTAAACCCATATATCAATCATCATATGATATCATATGACAGTTCATATATGAACTTAGGCCCATATATAAGATTATATGAACCATAACCAATTTTAAATCTATTTCTCTTTAGATCATATGGGATTTTTTTGGTGTGCCGGAAATAGCAGTATATAGATGTATTTATATATTCAAATGTCTACATATATAGGTTCATAATCTTAAGTATATCATTTAGTGTGGCTTATTTTAATATTGTTTTTTTTTGGAACAATAGAACCTTGAAATATTTAAAATCAGGCAGTGGCAAAGCAGAACTTTTTGGAATAGCTGCTAAAAGAACTTCTGAATTTCTATTTTTGTATTCCTTTGTTCTTTTACTTTATGCAGAGTATTAAAGGTGCCACAAAACTGGGTTGAGACGGCTTTATTTGCCAACAATACTTCTTGGGTTTTTCCTTTTTTTTCCAGGTACTGCCTTTTGCGTGCCCCTACATTCACCCGCTCCCCGTGGTTTTCATTTTCATTGTGAAACTGGAGCTGGCTTCAAGGTGACTTGCCATTGATTTCGCTTATTATTATGGATGTTTTTTTTTTTTTTGCATTCCCTCCATTTTTGTTCCCCTTTTTGGGTGGCAAGGTGCTCTTTGGTCTTCTTTGGCCTTTGAGCTTCAGAGCGCGGCAAGGATTTAATTTTATGGCCCCCGGGAGCGTAGCCCCGCTGACTTATTGTGCTGATATGATTAAGTGGTTCGCTGACTCCGGCTTTATGACAAGTGCAGGATCCAGCGGGATTGCCATGGAATTGGGGACCGATTTGGCCCGGCTTTTGCCAGTTGATGGTGCATGTGAAGCAGCTTCTAACTTGTCGAAAACTTCCGCCCTCGCCTTTAATGGGTAGGGGCTCTTTAAATTTCGTTTTGATTCGATTTCATTTGATTTGAGCCATACACCTCGAAAGTTTGGCCCTCCCCATGCACTTAAAATAAACCTCCATCCCCCTTCCCAATCGACCGGCACAATTGATTGAAATTAGATGAGCTTTTCATAATACAAGACCTAAGCCGCACTTCCCACCCCGAACAGCCATCTTCTGGGGATGTGTGTGCGTGTGGGTTTTCCATTAAGTTGGACCCGCTTTTCCTTCACCATTTTCCCCGTTCCCCTTACGACGTTCCCCACAACTACCTGGTAGAAGTTTGTGCTTCCTTGTGCTCCCGTACTCCATATATACCATACCATATACCATCCTGCAGACTGCGAACCCGGGCCACGCTAATATCCCTCAAGTTGCCACCGACTTTGTGCCAAATTGGTTATTAAAAGAGTCAACTAGTACGAGCCAGAAATAAATTGAGAGCGAATTCCCTTGCACAAGCAGTTGGAAAATAATAATAATAATAATAAAAGGGGGCAACTTCTAGGGCCATCAGGATGTGTTGCAACTGCTTTCCGATTTTTCTTGAGGGCATACGACGACCGAAAGTATTCCCAAGTATTCTGACAATGTGTTTTCCTCACATGCGGGCGCAGCTTTATATATTTCTTTCCGAATTTCTGGCTTTCGATGACTTTGAAAATAGTTTTAAAAGTTACCAACTCGGGTGATGAATTGTTTTCGTAAGAAGCAAAATATTGAGAAGTAGTTGTGCAGAATAAACTTTACTTAATATCAATCTGATTGAATTTTCTGCGTGTAATAAATACCAAGAAATATACTTATAATTCCCTTTTTTTTAATATACCTTCATTAAAGAAATTATAAATAGCTCACTGTGAAATGGAATGCAAAATGTGAAGACTATTATAGGAAATAAGACGCACACAGATAGAAAAAGAGAGAGAGAGATGGCCTGCTCTACACCCCTCTCACTCTAATCTAAAGAATTGTCTTGCAAGAGGTCATTAGAAGCTTTCGAACTAATTGAGTAATTTGCTCACCTTGATTGCTTTCGAGGATAGTGTATATGTATGTGTAGTTGTCAGGACCCTCGGCACACTTGCATCCTTTCACGCACACAGAGACACACAGCCCCACACACACATACCCATACACGCATATGCCACCATTTGCTCGTTCATTATTTCGCACTAATTAACGTTTCGCGACAAAAGGTGGCGCTTTATTTTTACAACTGCAACTGCGTTTTACTGCTTCTCTGCTGCAACAGTTGCTGCACTGCAAGAAACATTTTATACTTATAAAATTTAATTAATACTTTAAAAAGATACATTTAAGAATTTTTTGAGCTGAGTAAACTACATAAGGGAATTTTATAATGAAACAAAAGCTTGGCAAAGACAACAAGGTCAACTAAAAATCATAAAAATTAAAGAATATTAAAAAAAAAAATTCCTGGTATAATAATTAATTAATTAAGTTTATTTTTATCATAATTTAAATACCATATATTAATGAATGCCTACGGAATTCGATAATATATAAATGGAAATACGGAAAAATTGCCATTGATATTAATTCACCAATGATATGTTGATGAATGCTTAGGGAATGAAATAAAAAGTTTATACCAACCAGGAAAATATTTAAATGATATTAATTAATGCATTGTTATGAAATTTCTTCCAGTGTACTGGCACCATGGCTGCAACGGGTATTGCTGCCACTTGAAGGCCACTCGACGGGGGCGGGTTTCGCCTTAATTGCTGTTTATGAGCGGGTTGGCCCAGTAATTAAACAATTTCTTTTGGCCCGACGAAAACAGTTTCACTTACGGCACCAAGTAGTAAGTTGGCCAACAGTTGGCTGGAATCACACGTACGCAAAAGCCACCCACAAAAAATACAGCCATTAAAAAAAACAAAACATGGTGCTTATTGAGAAATTCAAGATGACAAATAAATTAGCAAATTGTTGATTATATGTATGTGGCATCTAAGAAAGATTGAAGGCGTCCTTGGCTTTGGTGGGGCTCCCCCGGTCGTTCAATCCGGGCAGGTAATCTAGGTAATCCCCGGTAGTCCTCTTAGACCCTTTCGGCCGTATTCCGCTCGATATAGTAGGGCGCCGCACCGATCCGTGTGCATTTGTATCTCAGTTTGCAGCATTCGGGGAAGGGATCGCTGGGCTGGATGCGTTCGCCGTGATTGCAGTTTTCGATGCGCAGCTTTCCGCATCTATAAGAAAAGATAATCATTAAAGTATAATATAATACAAAAATTTCAGAAAAATGTTTGAGCCTTAAGGAATTTTAGAGCCAGAAAATAGCACCTATCATAGTTAAATGCAAAGGTAATTTTAATGCCAACATAAGGTTCCAAGTATGTAACGAAATCCCGTCAAAAGCCAATTCAAAAGGGAACAAATATTTTAATTCAAATAGATGAACTTATATTTTGCTGGTGCTTTTTAAATACCGCTTTAATCAGGTTTGATTATAAAGAAAACTGAAAGTACATTGTTGTTGGTTCCCTGATGCTTCGGTATATCAAATGTGAACATAAACGAATTAATATTTATTCCTGGAATTCTAGCTACATAACTTTGTATATTTTACAACTAAAATTCTGGTCAGTTTCCTTGAATACAATTTAAATTTTACAATAAACTAATAAACATTAATTTGTTGAATTCCAGCTACATATTTGCATTTTGCAAATGAAGTGGTTGATGATTCCATGTTTAGTTGCAATTAAATTGCAATGAACCCCTTCATCTGATAACGTTTTGGCAAAAGTGACACATTGTTAGAAATAAAGCCTTTGAGTTTCAAAGATTGTGAAATGTTTGATCAAAGGAATTCCTTGAAAACTTTGCCTTAGCGTAAAAACGTTACCAAAAAAACACTTAAAACCTGAAGGGGAAAACCCATTTCGGATCTAGGGCAAAACTTTTAGTTTCCCTCAATTTAGTTTTGTCTCCCCCACGAATAGCCGCAATCCGAAGGATGCGAGATGAGGGACGTCAACCCCACAACATTCATTTAGCTCTCAGCTCTTTAGCTTGACCTAGAAATTACAGTCTCATCTTTTGCGCTACTTGGCGAACTCGAAACTAAAACTACAAACTCGGCGAGAAGTCGCAGTCGCAAGTGGTTGACACAGCGTCATCTTCGGCGCTACGTTGGATGTGTGTGTCTTATCAGTGGCGAGCGTGTGCCATCAAATACACTCGGAAAAAAGTTTAAGATTCGGAAAATTACATGGCACAGCTATGGGTTCAAAATATTAGCATTTGATATCACATATGGAAAGCATATCGTTACCTAGAATTTTTAATACTAAACCAAAGAGTTCCTAAGATTGTAGTATAAAACAAATTTTTGTAACCTTTCAAACATTTGTGCCTATTGAAAATTTTTAGATACAGTTATTTGAAAATATTTTCTAGTAATATCATACCTTTCTTGAACTCTTTGACATTTTCTTACAATTTTGTACAATATAAAAATAAATTAGATTTTAATTATCATAGTCATATGAAGACAAGTCGTTAGTAACTGGGATTCTTAATTTTGATATAGTAACAATTTATTAAGATATTTTTCACCTTTATGTATATTTTTCCAACTACCCCCTTGTTTCTTTTATGTGGTATTCCTTTTTTGACTCGGTCAAGGCACTCTGAACTCACCCCTCGATAAATATTGAGCCATCCTTGTTGCACGTTAACCGTTGGCAGGGCGTGATGCCAGTTTTGACCCCCAACTCCAGGCTGTCTCCACGGTAAACGCATTTGCCAGGATTTTCTGTTAACACAAAACATATATATGTTTGTATATATTTATATGTATAGAGAATGCACATATAGACGGATGAGCATCCGCTCACCTGGATCCGGTGGAATTAGGCCCGAGTAGCCGCTCACCTGAGCCAGCATCGAGAAAAGCAGGGCGCCTGCGATTACCAATGGGAGCAGTGCATTGGGACTGGCGTGGCGATCCGGAGACATTGCGACCGTGTTCGTGTTCAAAACTGGACTGACTTGGACCCGGACTCCGATCTGCGTTGTCTACTCCGCACATAGGGCATACTCGTTGAGATTGCCGAGCTCTGAGTGGTTGTCGTCCCGCTTCCCCTGAAATAGCGGAGAGATTCATCAATTGTTTTTATTCCATACCCAGTGTTTGGAAGGTATGATGTACATTATCGATATTTATACAAACAAATCGATTTTTTAATGAAGAAAACAAAAAAAATAGCATCAGTCTGATATATAAGCAAACTAATATAAGGAAAACCTCAAAAATCTTATCATTGTTATATCATTATTAAATCAAACACCTAGGGTTTAAGAAATATATGAAATTTAATAATTATTCTGTTGATATAGGGGCACCAAAACTACCTTTGCAGAACCATTATTAAAAAGACTGCATCAGAGGAATGTCATACATTTTTTATGTGAGATCATAAATAAGTATCGTTTAATAAGTATCCCCTAGTCGAGTCGCCTACCATTTGTGTTTGCTTGAGTTTTTGTTTTCGGGTCCGTTGATTATTGTGTATTACTATTTAATTGAAGACGCCACTTCAAGAGGCAACTCATCTCTATTTCTCGATTCTTAATTCTCTGGTGAGCGTTGCGGGGTCAGGCGGTTTATCGGGCGGTCTTTTATTACAGCACTTTAATGCCTCAAATTGTTCTAGAATGTTTGCACAATTAATGGCAAAAGCGGGACAGAGAGTGGCGAAATATAAATTGAGAGCTGGAGATAGAGATAGAGGGTCTACGCGTTGATGGGCAGGGAATCACGAATCGTTAATCTAGGGCTGGGAAAATACAGTGCTACATCAGCTTTTCCATTGTTTTACTAAATCGGAATTATATTATAAGGCGAATGATGTAATATTTGTTTAGATTAAAAATGTAATATTATTATTAAATATTTTTTTTAATCAATGCAAAGCAGCTTACATCTTTTACTAGTGCAAGGCATATTTTATTTACAACTGTCTTTTATTTTTATTAAAATCAAGGGGGGTTTTAAGTCATGGAATCTTATGCAGCTTGAAGAAAGGAAGCTTAATGCATTCATTATAATTTTCCGGACAAGTTATTTGTCTCAATTAAAAATTCACAAAGTTGGCAGAAATCTCGGAATACAGCAAAGTTTGCAATGTTGTGAGGAAACGTTAAAACGTTACATATATCTTGTTTGGCACTGGCAAAAGGTCTTGCCTGAAGCAGCTTTTCCTAAGAAGAGATTTAACTTGGCCACATTGTCAACATTTTCGGTTTAATCTTCGCTGCTTAGAAACTTTCTCAAACTGAAGAGCAATATTTACGAGTATATGCATATATGTGTACATGTGAAACCGAGTATAATATACCCCCATTTGAAGTAGTACATTTTACTTTAATTAAGCCATTTTTCTGCTCTCTTCAATTAAGGGAAGCACCACGAATTCGACGAACCTATTGGCCAGACTCCATTTTCATTTACGCATTTAAAGAACTAGTTCAGTGGCAAATCTTAATGAAATGCATTCGTTGGCTTAACCCGCACACAAGAGCAGACAAATGTTGTGGCAACTTGTGCAATCCAATTGAGACGAGTCCTTCGACAACCCCGCACAATGTTTGCCCTGCTGGCTATTAAATTTTTAATCAAGTTAAAGTGTTGTCAAACACTTCATTCAGCCAGTTCCATTCAACCAGCCCCGGAGTTCCCATTTCCCATTTACCATTTTCGGTGGCAGTCAGAAACAGCAGGCAGATATCAGATATATATATATACATAGTATGTGGTGATATGGGAACATGTAACTTGCAGCTCCTAACTTCCACTACCACTCCCCCTCGACCTTCTTTTTCCGTTCATTTGGTGTCGTGTTAGTTATGCATGCATTCATTCGTTCATTCAGCGACATTCATTTCGTTTCATTGCATTTTCTTACAACTTTCCCTGGCATATGCCCCACTACCACCCACTGGCACCACACCGAGCCACCCATACTCTAAACCACCGTACACCACGGCGGCATAACCGCATTGTAGGAACCACTTCACCACTCCACCCACCATCGCTTCCTTTGCCTGCCGCCAATCCCTGTGGACACTTGTTCGTGTGCTTCCCCTTTATGATGTAAGGCTTTCTTTGCCGCTTTCTTTTTGTCCCCGATACCTCTTCTATAAAAGGTATATACGATATACTACTTTTTTATTCACCGTATCCTGTAATATTTTATCTTGATAAATGCCCTATACCTATACCTTTATGATCATTAAATTTACCCCATACCACTTCTATAAAGAATTCCTTCCAATATGCCTTCTTTTGAATCACTGAACCTGCCCAGTTGGAAAAGTATTAATAATAATAAAGATTTTTTAGTACTATACTATAATAATTAAATTAATATTTAAATAATTACAGGGTATTGGTCATTCGATCCCCATAAGCTACCAAATTCTGTGCCTTTCCTGTTCGCCTTTGTGGTAAATGAAATGCAAATAAATTGTCAACTGCAGCTAAATAAAATTTTAATTTATAACGGGTTTGACTGGCTTTCATTGTATAAAGGGTGGACCAAGGGGGTTGAACTACCGAGGGTATATTGCCCCAAGAAAGGTGAGTGCAGCTGAAAACCATCCAAGTAATTGAAACGGAAGAAAGATTTCCTTTGTCAATTGAATGCTGTAAATATTTATTGAACTCTGTCATTTCAAATAGCAGTATTCGATGTTTATTGTAATGAATAAGACAATGCCAATGCATATGGTAGTACATTAAATTTTAAGTGGTTACTGGTCTTTGGAAAGACACAGAGAAAAATAGTTTTTGCCTATCTGGCTATAAATACATTTTTTACTGTTAACATTTTTTTTTAAAGTTAGTTCTTCAGAGTTGGTTTACTAAGTGAATTATAAGCATCTTGACTAGAGTGTGCATAATAAACCAGTGATATGTTTTTGATTATCTTTTCTTCATAAATGGCATCGAATGTTATTTCCATGGCAGGTCTTAAAAATAAATCGATAGAGTCCTATTATGTGTTTAGTTTCATTACCACTTAAACTTAAACTTAAACTTTAAAGTGATATTTATCCTTGAAGTGTACTGCCGTTTTAGTTTGTTTTAAGCGGGGCTATTGCCCTGAAAAGTTAAATTTGTATCGATTGGCCAAGGTCTTTGAGAAGCGAAGAACCACCCACCTTTTTTAGGTCTGCTCGCCGGGCACCAAAGTCGCAACTGCATGCGTTTAACAAGTGACCACAAAAGCGGGTTCGTAGCCCCCCCCTACTGTTAATTTTTTCTTTTTTTTTTTGGAACTGGACGGGACGACAAACATGCACACAGAGAGCCTCACAGCTAATTCGCATTTGATTATTTAAATTAGCGAAATGAGTGACAGGCAGAGTGAGGGTGAATACACGCGCTCAAATTGACCGATGTCCGAAAAGATCCAAAAATAAACGGCATAGTAGAGCGGAGCGACCTGGAGCAAATCGGACCATCGTTCAAATCGGCATTGTTAGTGCTTTGTTTGACCGCCGAACTGCGAGACAGCGAGACTGCGAGACTGCGAGACTGCTAGACTGCGATTTCGCATTTTTAGAAAATGTATTCAGTGCAGGGGCGACATTCGCAGCGGCAACGAAAGCGACAGCCATAGCACACACACACTGGCACCTGGCATCCCCAATACATCCCCAGACAGCCACCCACACAGGTGCAGTTCGAGAGAGAGAGCATTGAAAGGAAAGTGGAAAGTGGTCAAGAAGAAAGGCTAGAGAAAGCTAGGAAAGTCATCTCCATTTTCTGTAGTGCTGTGTGTGTGTTAGTGCGCGCCGGAAATGGCCAAATTAGTGACTTACATCTTCATCGCCAGCTCGTTGGTGCTATGGTATCTCCTGCTCTTCGGTGGCAGGGGCGTAGAGGCCACCAACGGGCACGGGGGTCAGCTGGAGGGGCGCGATTTTCACCACCACGGCGGCAGCCATCACATTCGTCGTAAGTACACAGGGATAAAAAGGCCCAACATAAAGAAAAGTCCCATCAAAATTCAAGGAAATTGTGCTCTCAAAAAACCTCAGAATGTCCTTAATATCAAGAAAAATCCTTCTTGAATTTCTGCCAGGAACGACGACGTAACATTTCTTTGAAGAAAATATCTGTCTTTTTTTGTAACCATGGTATCAAAAGTCATCAAAAATTCAAAAAGATTAGGACCAAAATAGTCTGAATTTAAAAAACATTGTTCTTGATATTGAAACTCCTTAAGTCAGTAAACAAAAAAGTCGAAAGCTGCTTCACTTGTTGTTGCTAATAATTAAATGTAGTGTAATGCAACTTGAAACCCGTTTTAATTTTTTTGGTAATCTTAAAATCTTTAAGATTGTTAATTGTTTTTAAAGACAAGGAAAAAATTCTTGTAATTCAAAGTTATAAAATCTAATAGCGCATCAGTCGGAAATCAAAAATTTCGTTCCTGCTTCTTTAAGAGAAGAACAACAATCTATATCTTAATCACATATAGATAAATATAATCATGGTTATTTTTTCCAGGCAACATCAACCACTGCTGGCGTCGCTACGATGGCTACAATCTGCAGAACACCGTGGTCAACAAAAAGGAGCAGCTGAAGAAGCCCTATGGCATACTGTGCAACTTCAAGTGCACCTGGTTCTTCACCGTCAGGTGGGTTCTGTAGTTGCCAATTGTTTTCAGTTCTCATCCTGATTCCAAACCTCTCCTCTTGCAGCTTCCCCACTTGCGAGTTCATCTACGATTATAAGTTATCCTGCGTGCTGTTCACGTCACTGCCCGACTGTACCAGCGTCCAGTGCACGCTATTGAATTACTTCGAGTAACTAGTGTATTCATTTAAGGCCTTTTTTTTTGATAGCATAAGTCTGATTAATACTAGATTTTATATGGACATGTAGAGAGACGGAGAGAGAAAGTATTATTAAATCAAAGACCTAATTTATGAATGCAAACTGTTTTATTTGTACTTTGTAGCCAATGTAACTATATAATATATATAAAGGTGAGCTATGGAAATGAAACATAACTGTAACTAAATACAGGCTTACAGTTCATAAAAGAAATGATTGTTCTCTCCATTATTAAGCAATACCATTTGGAATGTAAGAGACCTACTTGGCGCAATCCCCTTTTTGGCGAGATTGACTAGCCCTCCGATAAATCTGGCAGCCATTGTCTATTGCAATTCATTATTGGACTAGAACAAAGTCATTCTACTAGCTGGTAACACATTCGGAGTCAAAGTTTACGACTCGCGTCTCACTTAAAGTTGCCGTAAAGCCAAAGAGTCAACAGTGCTGTTCGCACTCCATTTGATGGCAAAGTTGAAAAGCCACAAAAGCTATCAATGGACCCATCCAGAGCAGCCGAAACGTTTCACGGCCCCTCTTTTGGGGAGGCGGGGCCACGCCCAATTACCTGGCCACATACCTGTAAGCTGGCCAAAAAGCAATCCACTTTTTGTAGTAAACAAATTTGAAACACTTTGTTACCAACGTCATTTTTTCCCGCCGCTTCGCAGCGCTTCCCCGTTTTTGCCCAGTTCACGGCAGCTTTTTAGCCCGGTTAAAAGCGATATATCCGCTCAACTTGATGGCCAAAAACGACGGCGCCTGACGGGGGGTTGAGTTAACCAAACTTGGTTAGTTCATGGACCTGAACTCCTGGCCCCAACCAACAGCCGCAAATAAATCGTTCGACATTTATAAGCCAGTCAAAGTTATGCCAAAGCGTTTCCTGAAAATTTGTGTACCCAGTTTTTCCGAAGGGAAGAGGAACTCTGGTATTGAAATGGGTGTGGGGAGGGGGTTGGGTTGTCAGGTGCTGGCTAAAAATAAGATAAATTATGTGGCTGTAGTCAATGGAGCTGTTAACTCGCGCACCTGCGATAGGGTTCCCATTCCCATTACCATAGTCCTCCATCCCTTTGACCAACCAAGTGCTCTACAAAAGCGTAGAGTGGGTCTTGAAATTCGAAAGTGGAAAGGGGGTCGCCAACTCACACGCTTTAATTTTGGCCTGGGCCAGATGGGGCCGCACTTTAATGGAATCAAACGAAATGGCATTGATCGCTGAAGGCCAACGGACCCGCACCAGAAGGCAGAAGATCAACTCGATTCGGTTTTGTTTGGTTCGGATCTGTCAGTCAGTTGTGTCAGTGTTCCTAACTGGGATTTGGGTCGTGGTCGTTTCGTTGTGCGTTTATATCGCTTCATAAAGAGTGTACATATATATGATTGTGTGGTATATATGGTTGGAGATCGGATCGCTTGGGGAACTACGCGTAGTGCGTAGTTTGCTTTATTGCATTGGGTGCGTTGGCGGTGGCGGTGGCTTCTATTTCAATGTTGATTGGCAAATTACGGCAATTTCTGGGGCTGGGAATTAGATTATTTTTAAATAGTTATAAACAAATTAATTGCGCATTACGACTGAATTGTGCAACCATCTGTTGGGGTAAAATGAAGCAAGCATTGCGGAGTGCCCATGTAAGCAGATTACAATCAATTATGTAAAAATATACGTTTGCTTGCCCTTTTTCAAACGTAAATGCACCAGCGGAACTTTAAATATCTTTAATTCTTAGCCTTATATAGAGTATATACTTTTATAACAAAATTATTCACATATAATAACTATTGATAATATACTTATACAACATACAAAGCTGCACATAATTCACTTCAATATATATTTGGCAAACTCTGTGTGATTCACCTCGGTCGGTCTGCAACTGAAAATGTGATTCATAACTCAATTTCATATTGAAAATGTTGATATTTGGCATTTGATTTGAGTGAATGATTTACTGACTGAGTGATTGACTGATTATGCCGAGTTTAAGTGACCCAGCAGATACGCTAAACATGTTGCATTCCCCGAGTTTATGCATTCATAGCGTCCCATCCCCATCGCACTTCCATTCCACATCACATTCCCCAGCCAGCCCCTTCCTCACCTGAATTGGGCGATAGCTGACTGATTTTCCACACAAAAGGTGGCAACAGCCGCAACTACAATCCCATGAGATTCGAAACTGAAACCGAAATGGAAACCGAAAACGAAACCGAAACGGAAAACGAGGATGGCAAAGTGTGACTGACTCTCCCTACTGTTTTGGTTTTACACTGAGCAAAAATGGATTTATTACTTATTTTACATATGATTTACTAGTAGTAAATTATTACATATAAACAAATTATTTTTTGTGAAAATAACCTACAAAATTTATAAATGGCGCCCAACGTGGGGCATTGCTAATGATGCATTGCTTGCTTTACTGTTTTTATTCAGTTTATTAATTTTGTTTAGGTAACTTTGTTTTTCTCCGTGTGGTAATCATATTAGAGAGCAGGAGGTGTAGAAAATGAAGAAGAAGGAGGCAGATGGGGTCGCATACCCACACAGTCTCACGCGATAATTTATCAATTGGCATCAATTTAGGCGCACAACAGCTCAAACTCGTGGCATTTCTTTGCCGTTTGTTTATTTGTATCATTTTGTTCTGTTTTTTTGTCCCATTTTGATTCGTTTGCTTGATATTCGCTGGCGATTTTCGGCACACTCGCGACATCCATCGCTGGCGGCGGTTAAAACCGCGCCGAGACATCTACGCATCGCATTAGAGGCACCCAAAGTCGCTGGCTACATGGCAGGCTCAGATTTAGATACAGTTTTAGCGTCAGATTCAGATACCGATATTGACGGTGACGGTGGTTATATCTACGATTGTTGTGCAATGGCCAAATCGATAACAGAAACGGCAAAAACGACAACGAGAGCATCCATAACTGCAATACACACACGCAAGAGCACCACAACAATCGCATTTGTTTTGCTGTTAATCCTCTGCTGTTTATGTGATTACAACTATGGAAGTATGTAGTCTCAATCACCTCCTCCCCCTGAAAAGTTTTTTTTGTTTTGATCACGATTTTTTTTGTGAGTGGGTGTTTTGTGGTGAAAATTCAATGATATAGTTCATGTGTGACGTCAAAAGACACTGAAAAGAAGCTGCGTTGCGTATACGCCATGTGACCAACTAATGGTTTCTGCAACTCGTTAAATAATAATATGAAAAACTAAGTTCTTAACTGTATTAACACCACATCAAATAAAGCAACAACTGAGGACATGGCAAATATACAAATAAACCATTTATTGTGGTAATTTTTGTTTTCAATTTTTTACATTCAAGTGCCCAAATAAATATGCAAATAACGATATGTCTATTAATATCGGAACTTAATAAATGTTTTTCATGAAATAAAAAACATTAAATGCAATTGAAAATACAGGCATTAAATTCCGATTTTGTGGTAAGAGTTTTACGACTAATTGGCTTTAAATGTATTAATTTATAAAGACCTACCTCCGATTCATTTAAATTAAAGCCACTTTGTAAGATCTTTAACTACAGCATATACAACTTAAAAGTTCTTAAATTATCTTTTTTAAGCCTTAAGTGCACTACCAACCAAAAATAGTCCCATTGAGCTTTAGTTTTGAAACCGATAAAAACAATGTAGCAGCGATTTGCAATCTATTGAAAGCGTATCAAAAAGTGTTGTTGTAGTAACCCAATGCCGGGGGTAAATCGAAACAAAAATTGAAAAGTGAAGTCGAGCAAATGAATGGGGGGAATGTTTTAGGCTTAATTGGCAGGCGAAGTCCTTACGCAACAAGGACTCTGGCACACAGATTAGTCACTCCCAAACACAACACACAAGTCCATGTATAAATGTTACCCATTTTGCAGGCTGGGCATCACAATGCTGGAGGAAGCACAATTCCGGCTCGATCCAAACGCCAGACGGAGAATTTAAGCGACCCTTCGGCATACTCTGCACATATCGCTGCTTTCTCTGGTTTCCGCCAATGTAAGTTATGCAATCACAATCAGTCAGCCACCCAAACACCCAAAACACCCATCTCCATAACACCCACCTCCATAACAAGCCGTAACACCCATAAATACCAACCACCTAGTGCCATTGAAATACCCAGCCAGCACATGCAATTTGCAATTTATGCACGCCTCTGTTATTCTGTAGTGTGAATTGCATTTTAAAATAAACTTGTTTGGCTTTTGCTTGGGGTTTGCTTTTCGGACTTGAGCTCGGGGCACGCACATATAGGTATGGGTATATGGGGTATATGGGGTATATGGCTATGGTTACTGGGTAGCATTTGAATTGCATAACAATTAAAATGGCTGGCAGCACTGTTTCGACTCGTTTGGCTTCTTTTTGTCGAGCTGCCACTGCCATCGCTATCGGGAATAAATATTTCATCAGCGATTCCTTGCATCCGCACCAATGCATCACATCACCTCCATTCCGGCATCCTGGCAATCCTTTTTTTTTTTGGCTTCCACTGTTTACATTCTGATGTTCGTTCTAACTTTCAGCTATCCCTACTGCGAATTCATATTCGATCTGCGCTTATCGAGGCACTTCACATCCTTTCCGGACTGCTATGAGATTCGGTGCAACGAGACCTTCTCCTTTTTCGGCAAGGAGCCCCACTACTGACCCACTCCATATGTGACCTACCACTCCCATTCCTGACTTCCTTCTTCCTTTTTTTTTTGAGTGCTATCTGTGACTAAGAATTGTATGCTTCAATAAATATGGGTTGCTGCAGAAAACAATGCATTCGTTTGTCTCTGTCGAAAGTGTGAATATTAAGAGCACTTAACGTCTTTGTTTTTGGGAGAATTGTGGGCTCTCTTCTTGCTGTAGGACCATTTTAAATTGCAGTTTATTGGTATACAGGTATTTGAGATATTAATAAAATGAGTGCCATTTTGAGTACAGCAATAGTAACTCATGAGCTGTAAAATATTTATTACCTTATGGTATTTAATCTTGCTTATAACTATATATTCTTTAAGAAGGTAAGCCCTCTAATCATATCCTCGAGCTTTAAAGTATTTATTACCTTATGGCATTTAATCTTATGTATAATTTATCTACCTTACAACCATATTTTCTTTAAGAAGTTAAACCCCCTAATTATAGCCCACCTTCACTCATTCGACTTGCTTTTATTATTCTATGTAAATAGTGCCCTCCAGTGTCGGGCAATCATTCAGGCTGATTGCTTTTAAATCTCACGTCTCCTGAAGTTTATGATGAATGGTTCTTGCGACCGCTCTCCACATTCCACTCGAAGGACTCAAGATCCTGTGAGAGGTGTTCATTGCCCTGGCGCCAAGCTGCAGGCAATTTCCTTCACTTTCCTTTTCGGCTGGCTTTTAGTTTATTTCCGGTTTCGTAATAAAGGACAAACAAACAAATAAACAAAGGGCATGGGACAAAGGACCAGATACAGATACTGGATACTGGTTACTGGTTAGTGGATGCTGAATACTGAATACTGAATACTGAATACTGGAGACACCCGCCCAAAACAACCTCATTCAATTCACAAATATTTGCATACAAATTAGCATTCTAATTGACTCGGGCCCAAAAATAAAGTAACCAACAGGCCCTTGGGGGCGTGGCTGAGGGGGCGTGGCAAAAAGAGGACTCTACTCGCTTCATGTGATTGGCAAAAGTGTCCGCGGAAGGAGCAAACGGAAACGGAAATGGGGTTGGAATTGGGATTCAGGGGTTCCAGCCATATCTGTTGGCCATTGTCTTGGCGGATGGCACAAGCCGTTAGCAACTAGCTCATACTCCACGGTTCCATGGTTACCTTTACACTGTGAAAAGTTGTTCAAGAATAGAGAAAACTTTTGAAAGCATTTTTTAATGTAATTCAAGGTATACAACGGTAACCATTATTTTTAAAAATAATATTTAATATTTCTTAATTCGGGGATGTCACTAAAGTTTTAAAATAATTTTTAATATAAAGTGTCTAAAAGTATGCAACGTTTTGAACATTTTTATAATATAAAGTGTCTCAAACTATGCAATAATATTACTTAAGTTTAGAAGTATAAGGAACTCCTTCAAAATGATCACTATCCTTTATTCACTGCACATGGGTGTCTGAGCCTAAAAATAAATTTAAATTTAAATTTATTTTGATTCTGAATTTAAAGATTAAAGTGTATCTTTACTGGATACATTTCAACACAACTTAGATCCATGTTAACTTTCTGATACTAAAAACTAAATATTTGTATACTTTAAAAACTTTAATACTACGTTTTAAGTTTTTAAAGTATACAAATATTTAGTTTTTAGTATCAGAAAGTTAACATTGATCTAAGTTGTGTTTAGTTAAAATTAAACATTTTCTTTGGGATAATGTCTATCAAATTATTTTTATTTGATTTAAGCTATTCATATTTCCCAGTGTATTTTGGCTCCCTTTCCTAATGCTTAGCCGCTCGAGTTAATTGTTTGCTTAGTGTCATAAAAATACAGTTTACGCCTTCCACAACAACACGTCCAGGTGACCCCCTGACCCCCACGCCCCAAGGAACCACCACCACCACCACCACCCGTAGGATCCCTAGTTGGTCTAGCAGCAGCGATGTGGCTTAGTGGAATTGGCCAAGCGGAATGGAGGGGGATTTTAAGGGGAATGGAAAGGAGGTGAAGCGAGTGGATAACAGCCACGTGCAAACAAAAGGTCGACGCAGACAATGTTGTCGCTGGAAAACTTTTAACTTTTACAAACTTAATTGTTGCCTGCTCTAAATATATAACACAGCAGGATCCACCAGCTTTGGTGGGCGGTGGGCGGTGGTGCGGTGGGCGTGGTTGCGGGCAGGCACTTGGGTGGTTGGGGTGGTTGGGGTGTCTTTGCGGCAATCGCCTTTGTGTACTGGCGTTTTGCAATTTATGGCACTTTGTCTGTTTAAAGTTATATTTAATGCCACCCATTGTACTGGGTTATTAATATGAATATTTTAGGCCAGAACCTAAACTTTTATTAATGAAGTTTAATACTTGCATTTAAAGTTCCCCATGAATTTAATTTTGCAATAGGTTAGATCTAAGAATTCTAGAGATCTAGACACTAAAACTTTTTATTTATCAAAACATTTTTTTAACTAAGCTAAATTTGTATAATACTTACATGAAAAATTCCTCTAGGAATAGCATTTAATTTAATTTAATGAGAGACAAATTAGTTTATCAAAATATTTGCTTAGAAAAGTTATTGTTGTGCTTGCAAATCAACTTCAAATTTTATTAAAACAAATAAATTAAATCAACTTGTCTCTTTGTGGGTTTCATTGGAGCATACGGAACTCCAGTTGGTCCATGCATGTTCACCACGTCGTATTCGTGATATTAAAAGCAAAAAAAAGACAACCATACTTTGTGAACAAACCTGAAATATGATTAATTCCAAAACCGCCGCAAGTATGCCCTCAAAGTAAAAAGTCCTAATAAATTCAATTAAGGTGTCTCCCTGGTGATTTCTGAATGGCATAGCTTCACCTGTGTACCTCAGTGCTGCGGCTAATTCTAGCGCTCCACAATTCGCCGTACATCCCGGCGTATACGTGATGTATACTTGACGTATACGCGACGTGAGCTGCGATTTCTGCCGCTCAAAGTGGGGGAATCCCCGGGCAGCAAAGCATTAACACAGGCTTGAAAAAATGCGGGGGGGAATTCAAAAGTTGTTGCAACTCCGGCAAATAAATATTCAGAATGCAATTACGCATGGAATTTGCTAGCACTTAGCGTGTCGTTTTGCCCACTTGCAATGCCCTCGTTGCTGCTGCAGCATTGCTGAAAAACTTATTTAACTTTTTACGATGTCATTTGGGAAAGTTTGTAATCATTTTCGTTAGTGCATGCTTCAAAAATGGCAAAAGAAAAGAAGCCAAGAAATTATTTATACGATTTTCAGACAGTTGAAAGTGTACGACCGAGTATAAATAAAGCGCTGCCGCTGCCGTTTCTTATTCCTTTCGATCTAAAGAGGCCAAAGCGGAGTTTTCCCCAGTTTTCCCAGCGCGTCTCGACTCTCCAACTGCCAGTCGAAGTTTTCAAAAAATGTTGTTTTCCACTTCTCCTGCGTTTACTCGCACTGTGTGTGTGGGTTTTTTCCACTTTTTTTTCAACCCCCAACCCTCTGAGATCCTGAGCCAAAGTTTTGGAGTATTAGTGCGTGCAGCGATTCGAAGGGGCCGAGATGCAACTTTTACTTTCCAAGCTGCAGCTTGTGGCTGCCCTTGCCATTTCCTTCACTTAGATGCAGTTATCCAGTTAACCAGCCGCAGGCCAACTGCTCAAAGCAGCTGCCACTGAAAACTTTGGGCTAATCCCCAGACCCACTTCAAGTCCCAGTTCCAAACCAAAACCCTCCTGATAATTTCCGGGCTGAGATTGGGCCGGTTGGGCAATACGAGGTAAGTGCAACAGATGTATTAGTTCCCTAAATAACACATCAGTGACCCAAAGAACTAAGGTGACACATAAATTTGTGATCACCCTATATCTTGTAAAGAATCTGTACAATTTCTTAAAACGGGGGACTTTACTTAAAAGCTATTTTCAGCTTCATATGATATTTTCAATCATTTTGCTCGAGCAATGACAAAAAAGCCAAGAACCAAGTAAGACATTATTTCCTAATGCATCGTTGAAGTTTTCCTTTAGTTCTGCTTGCATGGGACAGCTCGGAAAAAAGCTTTTAAGCTACTTAAGGTTGTTGGCAGGGCGATTTCCCACAGGGAAAATGGTTAGAGGGGGGTAAATACCCGGCTAATGAGTTGACAGGCCACGCCCCACAACAGTGACGCAAAAAATGAAAACAGTAAAAGGATAGGGCAGAGGGCAAAGGGCAAAAAAGCAAGAAACAGATGGGTTACAAGAACTCACTTGGTCCAGCGAAATCCCCCAATGAACTCTTTTCATACGGGTTTAAGTGCAGTCAACTTTGAAATAAATTAATAATGGACTTCTTAATACCAAATACTTTATAGATTTGATAACTTCACATACACAGAGTATAATAAGTTCTCTAAAAATTGTGTTTTACAAATTATAATGTTGATTGAAATAATAAAAGTCAATTGAGTTAAGAGCTAAACACATTGGGATTAATTTTATCAACTTATCAATTTATTATATACTTGCTAAAAGCAATATACAAAATCTTATTAATACTATCATCATATCCTATCAATGTGGTCTCTGTGTACAGTCTACACTGTAGATATTTCTTGTAATTCAAATTGTAAACAACAATTTACAAATAAAATAATAACACTTTTGTTTGTTATTATTTTAGACATTTCATGATCACTTTTGAGTACCACGTCACTCTGCAAAACAATCAAGGCATCCCTTCGCACGCCCTAAAAAACAAACCGATCGCCATTTCCATGTGATAATGCCATTTCAGTGGCCCACAAAACTTGCACTTGACATTATTGCGATTGCTGGAAAAACAAACGATTATTATGACAAACTGTTTCGGTCCAATCTGCGTTGGTTTCTCTTAGTTGGAATGGTTTGGATTGGATGGGATGGGATGGGATTGGATTGGATTGGATGGGGGGCATTAATCATGGGCGAGAGCTTGGGGCATGGACATGGACATCGGCCTGGGTAAAACGCAAAATTTGCATTGCAATTTTATTCTTGATTTAATCAAGTGCCGTGGCACAAACGCCAATTTAACTACCCACACACACAGGGCAATGAGAATGCCGTCAGACGTTGCGTATACGTAATGCCGACTAAATAATGCCCGTGTGCCTTTAGTTTGTGTGGCATCATGGGATTATGGAATGGTGTGAGCTTAGCGCGTAGTTTGCACCAGCCAGCCGAGTCACCGAGATGTACCAGCTGGAGAAGATCTGGGTCCTGCTGTGCCTGGCCCTCGTGGGCGTCCTTGGTTTTGGCCAGTTCCACATGAAGCACTACCAGCTGCAGCGCAACTACAACACGCAGGAGGATTCCGGGGAGGACGACAATAGTGTGCTGCGTGAGTGTTCCCTTTAAGATCTCTCCACACTGAGAGAAAAGTGTGTGGCACTAGGAAAGAGGTACCGAAAAGATATCATAAGATAAACAAGGTCAACCGAAGTGTAACTCTATTTAGTTCGCTTTAATTCTATGATCTCTGAAATCTTTTATACTTTCACAAATAATGAGGTACTGAAATTAAGAAAATTATATTTAAAGTCTTCAGTTAATAACCTCAATTGTTAGTATTCTTCGAATATTATAATCTTTTACTAAACATTCCTGAACAGTAACAAAGATTTTTCAAATTTGGGAAAAGTATCTTAAATAATAGTTTACTGTTTGTAATTGTTGTATATAGGCACTGTTTTATTGTGCTTCATAATTATTGTAGGTAGTTTCTATTAATATCTGAAACTATGGTAGAAAAAGTCTATCTAACCTAGGATTAGAAAAGAAATATCGAACTCCAAGACATACTTTTAATTTGACTATCAAAAAATCAAATGCCATTAACTTTAATAAAACAAATATATAAAAGGTATGTGGTTTGCATTTTTCAATTGTTAAATACACATACAATTTAGATTGGAGTTTCCCAAATATAACAAATACTAATACCATTTTCTCCACTTTTTTAACAGGAACCTTTCGCCGCTGCATGTGGGAGCAGTCGAAGTTCCTGCCCCGCCGCCTGGTTTTGCTGAGCCTGTGCTCGAATCTCTTCTGCGAGAACAACCACATAATGCCTCGCTCCAGGTCTATTTTCGTAGTGGAAAAAATGTCTAGGCCGAATGAGTAGTTGACCAATGCAATTCTATATATAAATAGCTCAGCATGTGCACTCCCCCCACAGCTCCCATTCCCCAGCATGCCCATCTATATAAAGGTCCCATTCCAAAACCCATGAAAAGCCCCCCATGATGGAACCTGAACTAATGCCCCGTCACCCGGCTTGGTCCCGGTTTTGTGTCTCCTCCAGCTGCCTGGACATCCTGCCCGACCAGTGCGAGCAGGGCGATGAGGAGGAGCTGATGTACAAGCCCTTCCCCGACTGCTGTCCGGTTTATTGCAACCTGAAGCGTCGGATGCAGCGCCTGCGCACCATGCACTTCCGGCACCGCCTGCTGCGCAACAAACAGGATGGCTCCGCGGGATCTGCCGGTGGTGGATCCACCGGTGGCGACGGCCCCAACAACGCACTCCTCAGCGAGTTCGTCTACAATAACTACTAGGCCAAACAGGGACGACGCGAGCGACATTCCAGCAAATCAAATTATTCTGCGATTTGTGAACGAGTCAATTTGTACTTCTGCCTGCAAAAGGAGTCATTCGGTCATCCCCACACTGAGCGGAAAACGGATCCAGTCCTTGGATTTTATTAAACTCAATCTCAACATATAGGCTACAATGTAGGATGTAATATAAACATATACAGGGGTGTCACACAAATCACCAGGGTTTAAAATCACTCTAGAATGTTATTTTAGGTGCCTAAAAGTATGCAGTGAATAGGGATAGTCTTCCATAAATGCACTTCCCAGTTCAGATTTACATTGTTGCATACTTTTAGACACCTTCAAAAGTGATTTTAAAGAACCAGTGCTTTGTGTGGCATTCTAGATAACATTTATCAAGCTTGAAGTATAGGCCTTAAAATAAGTTTGAGATAATGTAAACATGTTAACTTGATTTCCTTAATTATAGACTAAATAGTCACCTGGGGAAAGCACAAGATATTGCATTTGCTGGCTTGAGATTGTTTTAATCTGGAAATATAATGAAATATTTAAAATAGAAGAGCTTGCATTTTATTTTGTATCATCTATTCAAAGCTAAGAGATTGTCATATAAATGTTTCTGGCTCTTCATTAATTGTAAATTAGGGTTAGGGTTCCACTTTGTCGAGTACTGACTTTTTCACAGTGGAATCTCTCGAATCGAAGCTGTCACTCTTTTGGTATTCGTCTAGACAGGCTCTCGAAAGGGTCTGATTGTCCAAGTTGATGGACTTTTTCTATCGCTGTTCAGAGGCCGTGACCAAGTAGCTGCAGCCCTTTTTTCCCCTGGACTCCCCCATTAGGGTTTTTCGGGGTCTCAAGTGCCGTCCTTCTGGAACTTAGATTTCAGGGGGTTTGGGGTGTGGAGAATGGGGGAATGTATCCTGCAGCGCTGCTTCCTGTTTCCGCTTATCGTTTTAACACTTTTATGGAGCAGATGCAGCTGCAGAGCTTCGCAGCTCGTGCTTCTGTCTTCATTTTTATCTGCAAACAAGCAATAAATTTTATTTTAATAAGCAACACTTTTGATAGCCAGTGTTGAGCTGAGCTCAGCATTCTCCTCCCGGCACTCCCGGCACTCCTTTCCCCAATGTTTGTGCACTTGTTTTGTAGCTTGTCGTTGTCCTGGCAGCCGCTGCCATCCTTGCCTTCCTTATCCTCGCCGCATCCTTGCCGTGGCGCTGCAGTAAATACAAAGGATACTCGGCATCATCGGCTCATCGTTAGCTGCCATAATGTTGCGGTCCAGGGCAGAGGCGTCGAGCAAAGGGGGTAATATGTGAAGAACTTCAAGGATATTATAGATAGATTGGAAAGTTAATGATCGATCTTGATAGTAAACAAAAGGGAAAAGGTTTTACATTTTTTCAGCTTAAATATTTTTTTCATTCCTAAAAAATCAACACACATAGATTCAAATATACATTCCATTAGTAGTCGATAATATACTAACCTGAATTCGATTTGTAAAATGTTAATATTTAGTCGATTGAAAAGTATTTTTCTTAGAGAAAAGTATTCCAGTCTTTTCTATACCAGGGTTCATATGATATAGCAATATTGACCTAAAGAATTCCTAGTTGCATAAAGAACGGCCTTCTTATTAAATTTTAGTGCAGCCATTCCTGCAAAGGATTTTTAAGTTTAATTGAAGCTCAATAGTCAATTAACGATAAGTCGATTGTCCCTGCCTATCGAACACAACTGTACCTAGTCTGCCTTTTGTTTACACCTATGAAAAACTGGTGAACGGTCAGTGAGAGTGAATGGAAAATTGCAAACAATTACGAGTCATTTGGCTGGCTCTTTTTCAGGACTCCCGGTCCTTTTGGCTGCCACGTCAATGTCCTTGGCTTTGTGGCAAAACATTACCCCAGATCCAGACCCAGATCCGGAATCCAGAGCCCAGAGCCGGGGTCCTGATAATCCCCATGGACCTGTCGGCCACCCACCTTGCCTCGTTTACTTTGTGTGGCTATAGCTGTATCCTGCCACTGGGATATACCTCCTGAAACCTCCTCCACCTCCCATCGTCTTGTTTTTTATGTGGCTTTATGCGGCAACATCTCATTGTGCTCCATACGTGTGTGTGTATGTGTGTTTTAGCTGTGTGTGTGTGTGCGTGGCGCCTTGTCGTCCTTCTTGCAGCCATTGTTGTTGCATCTGCAGATGATGTTGTTGCTTTTTTTACTTTGTTGCACTTTGAAGATTATTGCACAATGCAATTTATATTTATCGTACGCTTTTAGTTCTAGCCGCTTTTTGCTAGATCCCTTCTATGCGATAGGGCTTATGAACTACTGCATGGGGTTTGAGCCAAAATTTTTGATCTCTAGAGATTTGAAAAGAAAAGTGCTGATCGGATAGTTAAGAACTCACCAAATAGAACAATTTTTAACAGCTGATATAGTGTTAGAAACTTATAGTTGTTCTCTTATTCTCTTATATATTTTATTATTTTTATTACAATATTATTTTAGATCCCAATAATACAAGTTATATGTTATTTTATAATAATTATACTTATAATAATCACAAAACCACCTATAATTTCATTTTTAAACTAAGATATCTTAGTGATTATGAACTTATCATGGAGATGAAATTTAGAGAGGGTATTTAGGCTTCTTGCCTTTTTAGTTTCTTTGATGTTTTTGTTTCATTTATGTCCTTGGTGATGTCATATACATGGTTGTCTGCTCACATCTACTTTTAAACATATATGTATATACACATACGGCTGGTGATTTGTGGGGCGTGTCGCAGCCCCTTTGTCGTCCTACATACCTGCAGTCGGCAGCGAAAAGTGCAGCTGGGAGCTAGGGTATCTACTTTATCTGCATGTGGCCACATTGTGGATGATTATAAAAACTCAATGCATTCAAAATTGCGTTTTTGTCTTGGCAGAGGCGTCTCAGGGCAGCTGCTTTCTCTGCTTTACAATACAATGGATTTTATGCCCAGATCTGATTGTTAGTTGCCAGCACTTTAAAGCCCCCTGACAATTTTATTGACTGAAAGTCATGGCGACCTTTGGTGAATCGAGTGAAATGCCAAAATGTCCATTAATTAACATTGGGATTGGGCAAAGTTCTGGTTCTGCTTGAGCTCTAGCTACAGCTACAGCTCCAGCTCCAGTCAATGGGCAATTCATCTCAGTGGCGGATTTCAGTTTTCTTTGTTTTCCGACTTTTCCAGCTTTTCCTCGGCGCACAATTAGGCGGCGCGGACTTTTCTGGCCTGAACTCAAAACTGTTGAGTTGTTGGAGCACTTTGAACTTCTCGCTTATTGACATTCTTCAACAAAAAATGGCAAAAGTTGTAGAAGGAGCAAGGGAGAGAGCACTAAATAACTTTTGAATAAAGTTGAAGTTTGGAATCAATAATGACGAGACAGATTTGCTTTGGGTGGGATAAGCTCTATTGGCAGTTGATTTTTGTATAGAACTAAGATGCAACCTTTGACGTTAGTTTAAAGTCAATATTGAAATGAATATATTTAACTAGTTATATTCGGCAAATCCGTTTTGCCAAAACTATTCGATTAGGGTACCACCGAGCGGAAACGGAATTTTGAGGGCGAACAAATGGGTTAAGATTTTTCTCAAAAGCACAAGAAGAAGATTTTAGTCAAAAATTCGACTTTTCTTTCCGGTTTTTCAATCGTAGTTTAGCCAAATTAAGGCGTACACCTAAAAGACCGACTGTTTTGAGCAGCTTGCTAAATATGCTAACGAATTCTATCACTTTAAGGAAAATTTATTTTTTGACCAAATTTTGACTTTTTTTTGCGAAAAATGGCAAAAATCAAAATTTTGTAGGTTTGAATGCCAATACCAGGTATGACACCTCTCATTCTGACTTTTACTTTTTTTATGGCAGCCAAAAAGCGGAATTTTTAGGGCGAAAAATTGGGTTTTGATTTTTCTAAAAAACCCAAGAATAAGATTTTAGTCAAAAATGAGATTTTTCTTTCCGGGTTTTCGATCGTAGTTCAGCCAAGTGAAGGCGTACACCTAAAAGACCAACTGTTTGAGCAGATTGCTAAAAATGCTATCGACCCCCATCACTTTAAGGAACATTTATTTTACAACCAATTTTCGCATATTTTATTCTTTTACTTTCCAATTTCAAAATTTCCAGAAAAATGTTCCTTTAAAAAACAATCAATCAATCAATCACAAAATATACACCATATGTTATTATACCCGTCACTCGTAGAGTAAAAGGGTATACTAGATTCGTCGGAAAGTATGTAACAGGCAGAAGGAAGCGTTTCCGACCCCATAAAGTATATATATTCTTGATCAGGATCACTAGCCGAGTCGATCTAGCCATGTCCGTCTGTCCGTCTGTCCGTCTGTCCGGATGAACGCTGAGATCTCGGAAACTATGAGAGCTAGGCTATTGAGATTTGGCGTGCAGATTCCTGAGCTTCTTACGCAGCGCAAGTTTGTTTCAGTAGACTGCCACGCCCACTCTAACGCCCACAAACCGCCCAAAACTGTGGCTCCTACAGTTTTGATGCTAGAATAAAAATTTTAACTGAAATGTAATGTTCTCATCAATACCTATCGATTGACCTAAAAAAAAAATTGCCACGCCCACTTTAACGCCCACAAACCGCGAAAACCTGTGACGCCCACAATTTTTATGCTAGATAAAAAATTTTAACTGAAATGTATTCGTCTCGTCATTACCTATCGATTGACTCAAAAAAAAGTTTGCCACGCCCACTTTAACGCCCACAAACCGCAAAAACCTGTGACGCCCACAATTTTCATGCTAGATAAAAAATTGTAACTGAAATGTATTGGTCTCGTCGATACCTATCGATTGATCCAAAAAAAAATTTGCCACGCCCACTCTAACGCCCATAACGCTTAAATCTGTATACCGCCGGTAGGTGGCGCATTTTAATCTCGCTTTGCTGCTTGCATATCTCCATTTAGCTGAGTAACGGGTATCTGATAGTCGAGGTACTCGACTATAGCGTTCTTCCTTGTTTTTTATTTTGAGATACATTTTACCCTACAGGTAAACTCAGATGATTTAGAAATAGCTTTTATGGCTAGCAACCCATTTTGTTGAGGGCATCGGCTGCTGCCAGTCCCATCGCGTTTTCCGTGGATCCTTCGGGCTCCAAGCACAAGATATCCCTGCTGACTTGGAGCAGCTTTACGACCTCCTTGAGTCGTCGCTGGAACTCCTGTCGTGAGATCTGTCCATTTTGAATGGCCATCTGGGCGAGGACCATTACAGGGGCATGCAGTTCGTACATGATGAGTCCTGCCGTTGGAAATGGTAAAAGGTTAATACTATTTTCAGGGGAGATGAACGGTAGACCCACCTCTCAGACGTGTTAATCCCGGATCGAGTACATCGATGATTTCTAGGAACTCCCGGCAGTAGCTCTCTTTGCGCGCAATATCTTCGGGCGACATTTGCGGCAGTAAATATCCAT